GAACAGGAACTCTGCTGGCAGATTGGTGATAGTGGTGATGTGTCACAGTGTACTCCCTTGCTCATTAAAGGTTTCACTAGCCTTACAGTAAAAACTAACTTTTTTATACAGCAGAGATGCAGTCATCAAATGGTGGCCCTTCTATACCTGCTTTAGTTTGACCCAAGGAAGTACATGTAAACATGCTCAATACTATTAGACATTAGAGTAATACAAGTTAAAGTTAAAACATACCACTACAACGTGTTGAAATGGGCTAAAGATGTTTTTGAAAACTGACAGTTCCAAGTACTGATGAGAGTGTAGATGAACTGGAATGTGCACACTTTGAGAGTGGGTCTATAATGTGGTTCAGACAGAGTAGAAAACAACGTAGAAGCCTCTGACAGAATTACGTATACAATGACCCTATGGTCAAGCAGTCACAGTCCTAGGTGTTGACCTAAGTACAATGAAAACCCACGTCCACACAAAACCCTATACATGCGTGTTTATAGCAGCTTTATCTTTAATTGTCCAAAATTAGAAATAATCCAGATGTCCCCTCAACTAAATGGTTAAACAAACTGGGGTGTCCATATAGCAGAATGATACAAAATATCATTAATGGTAAAAAATGAACCAGCTGGTGATAGGAGCAGCAGCAGATGACTCAAACACATTAGGTGGACTGCAAAAAAGCAGATGCAAAAGGTTACTGATAGCCTAATTCCACTCAATGTGGAAAGATAGCCGATTAGGGGTCACCTGAGGCTAAGAAGAGAGAGAGAGGCTGATTAAAATGATGGCACCAGAGATATTTATTTGGAGAGGAGTGATGGAATAGTTCTATAGTTTGGGTGTAGACATGCTTAATGTAACTATGCATTTAAAAACCCATTGAACTATATACATAAAAAGGAATGAATTTTACTATCTGTAAATTAAAAAGCAGATTTAAAAAACACTTTCTTGATTCTTTTCATAAATACCTTTGAGTACGACTGCTATGAACATATTTAGCCTTTTCCTGCCATCAGCCATGATTCCTCCATAGGTTCTTACATGGGCCAAGAAACACACGTTGCTTGTGGTTATAAGCAGATGGTAGCAAAAGAACCCCCTCAACCTCAAGAAGGATACTTAAATTTCCAATTTTCCCCAGTTTAAAAAAAATCCTAACAAGGCACAAAATGTGGAGACTGAATGTCAGCCAAACAAGATCAAGACAGCCACAATCACATGCAATGTGACTGGTCCCCGCAGACACTGAATAGTTTATGGGGACAGAGATGTGGAAGGGCCACCGAAAGCACAGCAAAGAAGAGATAACAGTGAGAAAGAACTTGAAGTGGGAAAGAAAATGGATTTCCCCTTAATGACAGAGGCAGCAACATTAGTGGAAGATAAGGACCATGGTATCAGCTGTTGTCACTAGCTGGATAGTGTCATAACTACTATACCCACTTAATCCTTATGAGGATTCTGCAAGGCAGATATGTATATGTTCCAGTTCACTGATGAGAATACTAAGACCCCTTTGGGTAAAATGACTTGCCTAAGTCCACACAGTTAATAAGGAGCAGAGAAGGCAGTGGGGACTCATGCCCACTGATGGGCAGAGCCCATGATTCCCATTCCACAAATAGCCTCCAGGGAAAAGGTAACATGGTTAATTTTAAATCATGCATACCTATCAAGGTATCTGCCGCAGTCTGGCTGGGCACAATTCAAGAGCCACTTCTCAAAAGAAACGAACTTTATTTTTAGAACCACACACCACACCACATAGCTCCTCAGGAAAAACCCTCAGAGGCCAACTGCCACCATAGGCTTCTCCCAAGCCTCTCAACCTCCCCCACTCCTCCTGCTCTTGAGGCCTATTGGCTGGGTCGTGTGGGCGGAGCCAAAAAAAGTCCCCCAATGAGCAGCTCCGTAGTCTGAAAGGGCGGGGAAACAGCCCAATGAGCATCACCACAGAGGGGCCAATCAGCTAGAAGTTGCTGGGGCCGCTGTGAGCCAATCATCAGCTGGCAGCTGGAAGTTTGCTGGCAGCTGAAGTTTGCTGGGGCCCCTTCAGCTGTGGCTCTCAACATCTCCCCCTCTCTGTTTAAACAACAAGCATGTGGCTTAGGGACCGTGCCTGCCTTAGGTTGTCCAATAGTACATATGGTCCTTACCCGTTATCGGATGAGCTGACCTCAAGGCGTCAGCCTCCTGTCTTAGGTTGGTACCATTGCAATTGGATCTTACCCGTCACTGACTACCGGTCCAGCATACAGCCACACCTGTAGATAGGTCTTTGTACCAGAGGTGGGGTGAGGTTCTTTGCCTCACCTGTTGGCCCCCAAATTTTAGCTGAAGGACCATGACAAGCAGAAGGGAGGAAGATACACCAAGCCAATTGACGGCTCCTTTTGGAAAAATTGTACCACCAATGACACCATCAGCAAAAATACCCCAACACTACCACAAGTCGCTGTACTAACAGATAGTTCACAATGCATACAAGTGAGTTCACAATGCATACAAGTGATACATAGTCCAGGCAAGTTCTGCAAGCAGTTTAGTGATGGCTATTGCAGAAGCTGTAGATTGGTTTTATCTTTGTCTTCACAGGCACTGGAATGAAGATAGGAATTCTGGCAATAATGGCTAAAGAAAAAATTATGTAACATTCCAGAAGGCACTAAAAGAAAACAATTTTCTTAACAATTTACATTATCTTGAACAGAATTATTAAATATAATGAAAAGGAAAGGTGAAAGTAAACAAAAGATCTGTTAACCTCCTTTTTTGTTCACATTTTAAAACAATCCTCAACAGCTGTTTACCCAATTTAAATTAAACCATTTAAATCACATGAATAAAAAAAAATATTTGGATCCATTTTTTCATGAGCGCTCATCATATATGATATATGGACATACGTACATACAAACATACAACAACTCTCCTGTTGGTATACCTAGATAAGGCCTTATCCAATTTATGTCTCCTAATAACTTTTGAGAGTCATTAAGTGATTTGAGTTGATCTACTCGTATTTGAATTTTTGGTGGACGGACCATGGTTGAGGATAATAGAACTCTTAAATAATTAATTGGAAAATTTAATTGTACTTTATCTATTGCTATCTCTAGATTATAATTTTTAATAAGTTTGTAAGTGTGGCATAACATTCTAGCAATGTGTTTTTATCTTTGTGTGCTAATAATACATCATCCATATATACAATATCACCCACAGAGTATTTTACATACCTTCAATATTATACCCCAGTTATTGAAGAGTACAGTATATTTATGCAGGAGACTTACTCATGACAATCATAGAGGAAATACTTTTTTTTAAGTTTATCATCCTTTAAGGGTACTCAAGAAACTCTCTTGTAGAAAGAACTACAAAGTAAACATTTAGTAAAGCAAAGAATTCCTTTGTGGTATACCTGATCCCCCCATAATCTTTATGCTGCAAATGTCTGAATTTTTCTGGACTGGATTTTCTTAAAGCAGGACATATACTTTTAATTTGTAATGTTGTTTCTAAAGGTCTACCTACATTAGCGAGTCCTGGAAGTAAATAAACAAGACGATTTATGGAATAAAGGACTTCAGTCAACTACCTTTTATTTTATACCTCTTCTAAAGAAAAAAAAATGAAGTCCAGGACATATTAAAATCATTAGCAATCCATCAATAACTTGCAGGACCACTGTAACAGCAAGACAGGAAGTACAGCAAGACAGCCAACTTGACCACAGCACTCCCTTGCTAGCTTATCTATTCAGCAACTCAACTCCATCTTGAACAGAAACCCAAAGAGGCCAAGACCACAGGAAGTCACAGTGAGTATCAATAGCACTCAATCCGTAAGATGCATACACTAGCAAAATAAGATACTTCAATGCTTAGACTTTTACTAGGATAAGCATGACATAATTGTTTAAAAAATTTTTTTCTATTAATGAATAGGAGATATTTCAGGGAATAAAAGTTTCTCTTGGCAAAATGATCACTTTTGTAAAGCATCTTGCCAACTCCAACTTTAAAATGAAGAGGATGAACCAATTTGTCCAAAAATAGTTGTTACCCAGAAAGACCACAAACATATAAAAATAAGACATTTCAGAATTAGCTGATGTAAAGAAATGCAAATAAAAATATCTCATGCAACAAATAATATGCAATTTTAAACAATCTATCTTTAAAATTTACACTTCTAATGTGTAGGGTTTCCAAAATAAGATCAGAGAAATATTAAAGTAATACTCAAATTCAAGCCAAAACTGTAAAGCTAAGAAAAAAAAAATCTGAAACACTGAAAACTCAGTTTCCAAATCTTAAATTTTAGGTATAGGACAAAAACCAGGTCCCAGATGGGCTGGGGTTGTGGCTCCGTGGTAAAGCACTCGACTCGCACATTCGGGGCACTGGGTTGGATCCTCAACACCACATAACAATAAAATAAAGATATTGTGTCCAACTACAACTAAAAAAAACAAAATATTAAAAAAAACAGGTCCCAGAATAATTAGTTGATGTGTCTGTAGTCTGCAGGACGGTGACATCACAAGTATCAAACACTGAACAAAGTTCCAGGAAATTAGGCAGATGCTTCCTATGCCCTTTGATGATAACAACACAAGTCCCAAACCATATATTCTTATTGGATTACAAGCAGAAGAAGTGTAGTTCCTGCAACAGTGAACTCAATGAGGTCAGTCACTTTAAAAAAACAAAAACAAAAAAATCTCAGGTTAAAATGTGATGAGACTCAATGAATTTGATAATTTCATAAAACCTAGCCAAAATCTTTTAGAAACCAGGCTGAGAATGCTATAATTTCCTTTCTCTCTCTTGCTCTATTTTGATAGAGCACTTTTAGGATATTTAGGATATTTTCAAGACACCTGTAACTAAAATATAAACTTGTTATTTTAGAAACATAATTTCAGGGGCAGGTACTCAAACATATTTGCAGGGGGTAAAAAACTCACAACTTTTGATTTTGCAACATACTTTTTCTGGAAGCTGAGATTCAACTTCTTTCTTCAGTCTCCTCAATAAAAATGGTCTCAACACCTTATGTAGACGCCTGATGATCAATATAGTTTCTTCTTCATTTAAATCCACCTACAAGGGAATCTTGGATGAATCTGACTTTTTTTAAAAAAAAAAGGATATTTCATATAATAAAACTTTATGTTACATGTATTACATGTGTCAATACATGATTGAGATATTTACATGCATTAAAACCAGGTTATGCTGGTCACATATGCCACTAAATTCTCTTCCACCTGCCCATCAGGTGGCCACAAAGTGACTTCCAGATATACATTTTTGTCTAAATACTCACTTCCATGGAAAAATACCCAGAAAAACAGTTTTAGATCAGTGTGTTAACAGCCCAACATTTCCTGGATTGACTGGCAATAAAGACTGACTGCAGATTGAGACAGAACAGGAAGAAAAAGAGCAATAATGTGTTCCTACTTCAAGCTTCAGCCTTCAGTTACCCTGACCTGTGGTTGTTGCAGATGTAGAAACTCACTGGGATACAAGGACTTGAACATGAAAAGAGGAAGAAGACGAGTAGATCCAGCTTATGCTGGTGGGTCTCTAAGACCCTCTACCTGCCCTCTCTGCTCTGATGTTGTTCAAGTTCTATTTTATAAAATCCCCATATTATTTCATTCACCTTCCTCTGTTAACCTCTAGGGGGCAGAGTAGATCAAAACTACTTTCCACAAATGGACCAATTACCAACCAGCCGACAAATGGCAGCTGTGCCTACAAGGAACCTCAAGATTAGAGGGCCAGAGTTCAAACATAAATATTCCTATCCTAAAACATTCTTAGTGGCTTTTCATTCCTGTAGTTAAGGAACCACTAATCAAAATGGCATGCATCCATTTCATTTCTTCCTTTCATAAGTGAATTCTAAGAGAAGATAGCTGAAGGAATGATAATAATGAAATGGAAGTAGTCTGCTCTAGTTCTGATGAGGATTTATGTGCATTCAAAATGGAGGCTCACGCTGAAACCTAAAAAACATGGTGCAGGAAATGAATGTAAACTAGTTTAGTTTTACACAGAAACTCTACATGGAAATACTTCAAAGAGTAATCTATGTTTATAACATGGAAAGATTCATTGTAGGGTTTGTATTTAGTTGATTGAGTTGACCTGGTTAAATGAATTTGGTAAATATCTCCAGGTCCACCATTTCTGTGGCTATAGCAGTCAAGCCTTCCTCCAAGTCAGGGACATTCTCCAGTGGCCTGGGACACAGGCTGGCAAAAGGCAAAGGGGTCAGAATGCCCCACACACCTCTGGATTTGGAGGGGAAAATAATCCTAGAATAAGCTATATCCACCCACTGATTGGAACCATAAAGCAAGTCACATGTTAAGCCACCCTGTGGAGATTTTGTGGCTCTACTATTCTCAACTTTAGGCCCTTTGATTTCATATCACTGTCATGCATTAGGGAAAAAAAAAATTCAACGAGTACCCTTTCACCAGTCATGGCAAATGGAGCATTAAACCACTGTTCGAATGTGCTGCAGCTCTTGAAAATTGTGGGGAGGAGGAAGTTCAGGAGGGCCCAGAGTTCAGGAAGCTTATTCTGCAGTGGGGTCCCAGTCAAGAGGATTCTCCTGGGGGCCACGTAGTGAGTGTTCAGGACCTGAGTCAGCTTGCAGTGGTGATTCTTCATTCTGTGGCCTTCGTCCACTATCATGTATTTCCACCGAATCTGCAACACAAAAGGAAGGGCCAACAACATACATTGAGCAAGAGAAAATATAATTTCCAACAGGCAGGTGAGGGTGCGGAAAAACCTAAGAATCCATACTTGGTACAAATGTGGCATAATAAGAAGAAAAAACAATCTCAACACACTATTTCCCAGGCCTGATAGAGCATATAAACTATCTTGTGGTAATGGAATGTTAAAGCAACATTCTTCTGCAGAGGATGCATGACTCCAAGTCACCCTTTATGAGGAAGGAAACTTGGGCCCAAAATGAAATGGTTGATCCTGCATCTCCCCTCCAGTTCTCCTTCTATCCATACTGTCTTATGTCAGCTACTCCAGACTTCATGGCCATGGCCCTGCTCACATAAGCACAGATTATATAAGTACCCACTTGAAGCCAAAGTTCATGTCTGATGTTTCCAAGATAGTACCAGCAGGAATCTATAGCTGAGATACTCATAGCTTTGCACCTTCTTCTTTTTTGGAGGGGGGTGGGCAGCACCGGGGATTGAACTCAGAGGCACTTAACCACTGAACCATATCTCCAGTCCTTTTTTATGTTTTTATTTTGAGACAGGGTCTTGCCATTGTTTAGGACCTTGCTCAGTTGCTGAGGCTGTCTTTGAAATCATGATCCTCCTGTCTCAGCCTCCCAAGCTGCTGGGGTACAGGCATGCACCACCAAGCCCAGCTTGCACCTTCTTTTCTCTTAATATAAGCTAGCTACTACCTTTAGGGCTTGGCACAGTGTTGGTTTTTATGTTGTACCCTTTTGTTTTGTTTGAATTGATTGCTAACAGTAAAAAGTTAAGACTATTTCACATAAAAATCTGAACGTTCAACTTCTTCTCAAGCATCTGGGTTCCCCCAGTTCATGCATATTTCTTACCTGCGAGATCCAGAACTTGTTTTATCAAAAATAAAAATATACTCACTGGCAAAGAGGCAATGCAAAAACCTCATTCCTCTGGTTATGTCAAAACTGCAAAATTCAACAGGACAAATTCCCCCACATGACTATCACAAAGTCAATAATGGCCATGGCATGATCCTCCTTCCTCTGTCTATTCCTTTTCTCTTTCATATCTTACCCTCAGCCCTCTTCTGACTGATGGTGAGGGATGTTCCACTAAGCCTTTCCATTCCCTGCACAACAGTGGCAATGGCCAAGAAAAGCATCTGCTGCTCAGATGTCCCTGGACCCTGCTGCAAAGCTCTTAGTGAGAGGAAGCTGACAAGCAATGTATTTACAGTCCTCACCTTCCTCATTAGAAGCACCAGTACACTGGGGAAAAGGAATAAAATCATCAGTCTGGCTGGAATATACAGGTAAAAGAAACCACCAGAATTTTTTTCACTTTCTCTACAGGGTTTAAGAATGATTACAGTTGTACAGTCAACTCTCCCAGACTTACTGAAAGCATGAACAGAGGCCTGCAGACCAAAAATATACTAAAATAAATACTCTTAATCAACATTCCTGCCTAATTTAGCTTATGAAATAGTAAACAAGGAAGCAGAGGCCTTTGATTTTGCTATTGGGTCTACTACTAATTACGTCTTCCACTTGGAAAAAAATTACTACCCCTTTCTGGAGCTCCAACTCTCCAGCAACAAATAAAAGCAATGTATCTCATTACCAGGCGTCTCCAATGAATTTTGAAATACATATGCAGAAGATACGATGCAAATTGTTTTAAAAAGGATCTCAAATGTACAAACACATTCCCTTAGTAATAATGGAAACACGTCATTTTTGACATTGTCAAATTCATCTCTGACTGTGAGGAATGGGAACACAGCACTGTTGTCAGTGCCATCTCAATTATTAAACCTCCCCTGGGAACACGTTTCCTTTATGCTATTTCCTATGATGCCATGAAGGGAACTCTCAGTTCCCAGAGAAAAGGTTTAATGCAGAGATAGAACAAACCCCAAGAAACAGAGATTCTGTTCAATTCTGGCCATAACTCCGTTTCAGATTATAGTGGTTTCAAAACCCCACAGGGTAAAAGAAATTACCAAGGGGGAAAAAAAATAAGTTTTCATGATTTGTTCCATGAAAAACCCTACTTCCATCTTTCCACATGAACATATTAAGAGATAAGAAGATATAAATGGAAAAGAAAACCCCTTCTCTGTTGTGCTAAAGGACAACATAGCACATACAAATGAGGAGACATACAGGTCACAGAAACAACTCTTTTTCAGCTTCAGATAAATAGTCACAGAACATCCCTGAGTAATCTGAGCAATGATCGCCCATCCTTTTACCAGGAAAAAACAGAAACAGACACAGCACAGGAGACTCAGCTTGAATAAGTGCTCATACGGAAAGGGACCATATGGAGAGGTACCTACTCATCTTTGGAGAGAGAGAGAGGCACCAGAGGAATGAAGTTACGCTGACAATAACCCAGGGCGACAAAAACAATTATTTCTTCCCAAGCACATTCAGGGTTATTGGAGAGAGAAGCTGCCAAAGGAACCAAAGAAACCCAGGTGAATTTTTTTAAAAGATGTCAACTCATTAGCTATGAGAAGATGGGGAAAATCCCAGCATCAATCACACTCACTCCAAAAAAAAAAAAAAAAAGACAAAGAGAAATCCATGGCCAAAATATATCACACTCTTAGAGATAGAGAGAGAGAGAGAGAGAGACCAGCCATCCAATGATCAAATTATACCATTGAGTATAATTTGAGGGATACTTTACACGCTGCAGAGATGGTCCATAATTAGAGATAAAAGAATTTCTTTAAAAACATACCTTTGCAAGAATGTGCTTGTCTTTTATAATGTACTCGTAAGTAGTCAAAAGGACATTGAATTTGCCACTCCGTAGCTGGGGGACAAGGGAGCGGCGCATGGCAGGGGTACCCTGAATGGAAAGAAAAATATATAGATTACCTGATGGAAAGTATGTGGGTGCTATTTCTCACTATTCATAGCCTAATGGAGCCTAGACGTGACATTCCCACATGTGTGCATTATCATATCCTGATCCATTATCCATGAAGAAAGTCTTGGCTAAATCACGCACATCTTGACACTTTCTAGGCCCTTATAGGAAGGTTTTCCCACTTAAGACATAGGGAGGGGAAGAGAAGAGGAAATTGCAGCAAGCTTGCAGTAGTAGGGAACCCGCTGATCAGCTGAAAGGCTCCATTTCTGTGGGAGCATGCAGCAGGCAGCCTGGGCGCCCTGGTAATTGCCTGGCTTTGCAGGAACATTCGGCACTGTAGCAGCCCACAGTGAGCCAGTCAGCAGCACGTAGAATGTGCGATATTTGTCATTTGTATTACTCTCATCAGAAACCTCGCAATATGATAATTAACAATTTTCTTCTGCATTTCACTATCTGAAAGTAATTATGGTTTATTACAGTAATCTTCTTGGGATGATTAACTCTCACTGTTTAGTACATGATGTACATGACAAAACTTTACAACCAAATACAGTTCACAGATGTGCATATGGAATGAAGAAAATAGGGTCTATTTTTTGCTTTTCCACATTTATATATAAATACAGCATTCCAAACCTTGTAAGAAATTTTCACCACAGAAGGAGCCCATTTGTCAAATTCGTATGTCCAGTTAGAAAGAGTCCTATAGAACAATGACAAAGAAAAATACAGTAAAAAAGACATTTGTATAAAAGTCAATGTCTAAAAAGATGTTCTTATTTATTTTCAGACTTTGCCTTAAAAGGGGCTAGAGAATATAAACTATCTCAACTACATATTGATTTTTTTTAACTTATAGATGGACCCAATACCTTTGTTTTATTTATTTATTTTTATGTGGTGCTGAGGATCAAAACCAATGCCTTACATGGGCTAGAAAAGCACCCTACCACTGAGCTACAACCCCAGCCCCTACATATTGATTTTTAAACATGTGGAAATAAAAGACAAGATGAAAATAAACTGCCACAATGGTGACAACTTTGTGTTTCATAAAAAAAGAAAAAAACTTAAGAAAAAAATGTTAAAGTACATGAATACAGAAAAACTAAATTTTAATATGATCATGAGAAACAGCAACTGCCACAGCGAGGTGGGGAATCTTTAGAACTAGTCATATAAGTTCAGAGAAAAATTGATTGAGGGGGGAAAATCATAAAACCATATGAAAATCTTAGATAAATCAGGGGAAGAAATACTGTATGACTCTTTTGAGTCAGAACATGCAGAACAGATAAAATGCAAAGGATGCCCACATATAGTGGAAACAGACAATTCACACAGAAGGGTCTGCAAACAGTCCTCATTTAAACAAAATCTGAAGAAAATGCAAAAATATCATCCAAGTTCCAAGATTATATCAGCACTGAGATCTATGACAAGGTCTTTCTCAGTGAATAAAGCTGCCACCTCACGCCCTCGTCAGATCCACGCACTCCCAGGGACGGTGGCTGTGAAGAGTTATTCTTTCACATAGGAGCCTCCACTGAAGACCCAGGAGGAAACACCTAGTGGGTGAGGCAGTGGGAATGTAATGGTAATAGCAAAAATTAGTCTTTCTGAAGCAGCAAAGCCACTGAAACACAAAGTGCGCACACTTAATGCAAAATTCACAGTTATAATTTTGATTTCCGTTCTGCTTTAAAAGATTAAGGAAAACTTACATAGATAATCTTTTGTGTATGTCAAGAAAAAAAATTTAAAAAATACCCACCTATATCTTTCTCTTTTGTGAGCCACTTGAGAGATGATTGACAAGACCCACTAATACAATGATACAGTGTGCAGGCTGTGTAGACAGCAATGCTAATTGCTGATAAACTCACTTGGTCCCATACTTAAGTAGCCAATCAAAAAGGCTGGGGGGGGGGGTAGGAAATTAAAACCTAAATTCAGATTACATGCACTTGGTAATCCTACTACATGATACAATTCTGTCTTCCGTGAGAAACAAGGACAAGCTACTAATAGGGCAATCTACAATGTACAGAACGGTGACTGTGGAATAAATGACTTGACTTACGAAAGGGGAACAATGATGAGATAGGGGCCATTGAGTCTTTTGTGCTCCATCAGATAAGTGATGAGTGCAATGGTCTGTATGGTCTTGCCTAGGCCCATTTCATCAGCTAAGATTCCGTTCAAATTGTTATTATACAGGGAAACCATCCATTCCAGGCCCTGGAGCTGAAATGAAGAGTAATTGCTTCAATTATCCAAGATCTGCACAGGTAATTAATACTAATACAACTCAAGTGAGGCTGTGACTTCTTACCTTCCCCGTGCTGTATGCCGGGTTTCCCACAGTAGAAAAGTGGGGGACGCACCAACGCAAAAAGAATTTAAAATATGAGCCTGTAATCGTCCCTGCTGCTTGGCAGGTGTTGAGTGTTAATCAGATTTAGAAATGATGGGCTGCAGCATACTGGTGGGATTTTAAGCAGTTCTGCTGCTCATCCCTACTTAGCATTTCACAGTATATGACATTCTAGAATTATTACAAACGAAGAAAACCCAAACCCAAATCTATTCCAAACACTCCAAGAACAAAAAGCCAACAAGAGGATTAAAGAGGAACAAACCAGAAGGCAGGTTTGGCACACAGACCATTAATCATTAGAAACATGCTTCTCTTCTCGGTGATGCCCCCAGGGTGCATCCCCTCAGTGAAGAAGCACTGACCAGGGAGCCAGGGCTACTCTGCTGGGCCCATGGGAGGGCATTTCTTTTCTTGGCAGAGAGAATGTTCCCAGGCAACACATGGAGACTCTGCCATGTGGGTTCTCCCCAAAGGCGGCACACTGGGAGCTGATCGCCTGGAAACCTGTTCGACATATTTGAAAGCACAGAAGCCCTGCGCTTTGGATTCTTCTTGTTAAGTACAAAAGGAAGGTAAGAATGCAAAGTTGTTAAAACTCCCTCCCCAATAACCAACTCCCTTGCACTATGATATTAAAGATGTTGTGTTTAAAATGGCAGAATCAACCATCCACCCCCACCACCCACACAATGTATAATGCATACATGTAGAAGTCAATTTGGCTTACCAATGAAGTTATGCTCAGTAAAAGGTTAATAAAAATTCACTGTATGTAAAAACAAAGTGAGTTATTTGTGTTTTTAAAATATTTATTAAATGACTATTCTTTGCAAAGGATCACCAAGGAGCTATAACAGATGGATACTAAGGTGTGTAAGATGCAAGTCTCCCTTCAGAATCCTGCAGTCAAAGAGGAAACAATAAACATCTATACCCATGTACTGAGAAGTAGCCAACAGTGCCAATGTATGTGCTAAAAACTGTATTAGCTAGAATTTTTGTTAGGGAGATTCTACAATGGTTTGAAGAAATATTTTCATGAGCCGCATGGAGTACCTGGTGAAAAAAACCAAGTCATCCTAAAGGTTTCTGCACAACTACAGCAAAACCAAGAGACATTGAGAGAAACAGAAAGAGCCTCAAAGAGAATGGGCAAAAAGAGAGGGAAGAAGGGCAAATAAATGGAACCCACAAGGTGCTGGGCAAGAGAGGCTGTCTGCCTGCAACATGACCCTGATGCCACCAGACTTTTAGGAAAGTCAGCTAAATGCCAGGAACATTGGATACTTAGTGAGGATAATATTTTTTTTAATGAAACTGGAAAAGAGACTGAATTTTGTATCTGTGTTAATTCTGGATAAAACAAATGCAGAAACTAGCAGTAGAAAGGACTAGAAATTCACAGTAACTGTAGACAGTGATGGGGACTTTCCTAGGCTGTGGGATTGCTACAGGGGCAGGTGTGGCTCTCCAGGAAGTAGCACGAAGGCCACATCTATGTCAAGGTTAAATAAATAGTAAATGTACAAAATCCTGTCAGGAACAAGACAGAAAGCTTACTCATAGAGAGGATGACCATGGAAAGCTGTGAGCCATAATTCAAATTAATTAGTGAAAAAACACGAGAACACATCAGGCAGATAAAGGTGCAGATTTCCAAGAAGAAGAAACTTCACCAGGCAAATATCCAGAGGGAGATTGTACAACCCACATCCAGGGAATCTTCCAGAGGAGGGGAGAGGAACAGGACTCACATTTGGAAGCCAGAGGAGGGAGTTTTGAAACGGGAGTGATGAGGAATGCTTACAGAGATGCTGGAGGGAATCACATGGCATTAAAAAAGTTACTGATGAATAATCCAAAAATGAATCTCTTATATAGGTACACGATAGTCCGTTAGACTACACCATGAGTTAACATATATGTCAGGGAGAGACAGCAGTGGTCCTCCAAGTGTGTTCCAGGGACTCTGGGGTCACCCAAGACCTTTGCAGAACACCCAGAACATCCTAAGGTCAAAATAATTTTCATAATACTATAAAGGCATTACTTGTCATTTTTACTGCACTGACATCAGCACTAATGGTGCAAAAGCAATTGCGGGCATAACTGCTGGCACTTTAGCACCGATCCAGGCAGCATGGTACAACCAGTTAAGGCATGCTCCCCTCTCACGTGACAGCAGCAAACAGTGCCAACTTTTAAGAATGGATAGGACCTGGTGCCAAGAAGCTTAAGAACCACTGACCTAAAGCATGCACTTCTTCATGCATATTCTATAAGATACACATTTTATAGGACATTCATAAGTGATATAAAAGAATGGCCTTGGTGATAAATACAAACTTAAGCAATATAAATAAAGATATTTTACTGCACGATGCTGATGTGCAGCATGGATTGCCAAGAGAGGCAAATGCCAAGGGGACCATGTCTGGTTGGCTTGGGGCAGACCAGAGTTATGCCTATGGCCAATAGTAAGAGCCCCTACACAACCACACACGTATCCAAATTTAAAATAGAAAATAACATAATGGTCCCAGTTACAGTTGACAGTATTTCCCCCAAACCATTATTATTATTATATATATTTTTAGTAAAAACTCATGGAACAAATGTTCCAATGAACACACTTTGAGAAACACTACAGGTAGTAAAAGGTGCAAGAATGGACCTCAATTCAGGCAGATCAAATGAAAATCTGTTGTTGATAGCCTAGTTTTTAATCAAAGCACAGGTGCTCACAACTATATGGTACCTTTCAAAAGAAAAAGCATAAATGTAGTAGATTATACTAGCTGGTAAGATCCATAGCATGAAACTCTAGCTAAAATTAAAACTTTTAAAGAAATATTTCATTTACTTCAGGTATGGAGGTTTTCTATGTTAAGAGGATGTGGCTGGATTTTCCATTTTGAAGAGATCCACACCCAGTGAAACTTTCCAAATGTTAAGTCAGTATTCCTTATAACAAAAATTCATCCCAAAAACTATAAGAGAAAACTGGTATGGTGTGTCCTGAAAAAGAAGACAACACGTGTAGAAAGACGCTGCAAGAAGGATTACAGACTTGATGGAGGGACTCTCAATATAAGTGACATGACCTAAAATGTGTCACCGTCTTCAAGCCATCAAAAGCTGCATGACACACTCCAATTGACCTCAGGTATCACACAATGGCTTGCCAAGGACACACGGACATGCCGATCACCTGGTAATGCTTCAGGGTCCCATTGATGAGGAGGGCAGACTGCTTCTCCACCCGTTCCGAGATGGCATGAGCCACAGTGTAGTAGGACTGGGACCCCCTGGCACTGTACTGCATGCTGTATTCATCATCCACATCTTGCTTCGCAGTCCTGAGGACAACAAAACAGAGACTCACACATGGTCACTTGAGTGTGTGTGGTATTTCACCCAAAAAATGAATGGAGAGTCTAAAACAGCTGCAGTACAGATAGTTTAGCAACTACTACATGCCTTGTACTTAAAACATATTTGCTATAATCGTCACAGAAATGAAGCAAGGTAAGCATTATCCCGATTCTAGGCATGTGAGGAACTTGAGGCTCAGAGAGGTTACTTCCTCTGCCCAGGCCACAATAGGTGTCCTTGATCTCCAAAGACTGAGAGGGGCTTGAACCCTACAGTTACAGATTAATCTTCTGCCAATGAATTTGTTCTTTTCACAGAACATTGGCTAAAGACTGGAGGACATATGAGAGAGGATCAAAGAGGACATTACAGGGTTAAGAAGGAAGGAAGGTAGTCTCTGATCTTTTATGGCTTGTTAATGAGGCCATATTTTACTCCATGGGCAATGAAGAGCCATGGAGGTGTTCCGAATGCCTTCAGCAAAGGAACAGGAGTGCATTGGGAGAACAAAGGTTCTTGAAATAGGGCAGCTAGCTATGGAAAAGGGCGGGGGAGAATATTAGGATGTTTATTTCTGGTTTTCAGAAAACAATTCAACTTTTAAAATTTTCCCTTTTGCATACTGTTTCACAACAATTTTCTTACAATAATACAACTTTCCTTATAATAATGAGCTATCCAAGCAGAGAGATGTGTAGACCACTGATAGGATGGTAAGACCTGGTACTCAGAAGGGTGGAGTGGGGGTTGAGGGGCTGGGTGGAGCCCAGGGCTGACTCAGCTGTGGCAGCTGGGGTGAGACGGGAATGGCATTGCAAACTCGGGCTTCTAGGTGAGGGTCTCATTAAGGGAGGCAGAAAAAGCAGGGAAGCAGCTTCACCAGATAAGGATAAATCTGATTATTCCAACCTGGGACAGAAGTGCCAATGACAGGTGTGAACAGGCCACAATGGAGGAGGGGATAAGGAAGGAGAAGAGTCGGGGAGAAAGGGAGGGTGGGAGGAAGGTGAGGAGGAAGGGAAGAGGAACAAAGGGAGGAGATGAGCAACATGGAGCCTGTGGACCTGGGGGACTGGAGCTCAGTGACTTCTGAGAGGCTGCGGGGACAGTGCCAAGTCAACTACAGGGCATGAAGATGGCTCCCTCCCTTAAACAAGAGTTTCTAAAAGAAAAACCACACAGTGTGATCCTCACGCAGTATATCTCCAAGGGAGAAAACAGAGACACATACTCAATGATCTGCTTCGCATCTTTCTCGGAAACTTCTTCACTGTTTGGATCCAGAAGGATTTTCTCTTCGGTTTCCTGCCTACTAGACTCTTCTTCTTCATCCTGGGAAAGGAGCAAAGATATGGGGAAAACTACATTTTTACAAGGGAATTTTATGATTGGCATTTCCTGAAAAGACAAGTAGCATCCAACTTTATGAATGAAGCCAGTGAATACAGTGAAGAGAGGAAGTGAATTTAACATCTACTTACCAGGCAACTCACCACTCCATTGTTGTTTAGAGCATTGAATGGGAGAATGAAAGGGACCCTCTGGGGACACTAGACCCTTGCTCCCAAGACTAAACATGTAAAAATCATGCCAAGAACTTGCATGTTTGTCATCATGTGGTTATCAGAGAGCCTGGTACATCATATCTGCTACATCCTTCTCTCCAAAGTCAGGCTTCAGACATCTTAATATACTCCTTCTCCTAAATACGTTCCCTATGAATATGCCTGCAGAACTCTTGAGGACCCCCCAAGTGCTCCGTGCAGAGGAATACTGCTTTCTGCTGCTGCTTCACATCACACATTTCTGAGTATTCAAACTTCTTTTAATCTTTCTATTTGTAATTATTGAAATTTCACAACTGACCTAACAAATACCGTAATTATTTCTTAGTTTCTATTCAAAGTATCCAAGATTCCCATTTTATGTTCTAGACATTAAGAATTCCTTCCAAGAGACTGAGAAGTGTGCTTCTCTTTAGGTAACAAGTATATCAAAGGATTCAAACAAAAATCACATTTAGAGAGAAATCCAGAGGATCGATAAACTCATTAAGCCAAGACCATGGTACTCTTTTTATCTAAGTTCTCAGGTTTGCACCTTCAAATAGACTCTAGGGCTCATGGACTCAGAAATTTTTAGGCAATTAACTCTCACTGTGAACCACTCAGAGGCATGGGACTGCCCTTCCCAATGTAATCCATCGTCAATTTTCCCCTAAAGACCTTTTCAACATCTCCAATTTAATGCCCACTTCTCTTCTCTTGGTCCCAAATGAGTTTAGAATTCACTGAGCTTCCCCATCAACCAGGAGCCCCAGGAGATCAGTGTGCCACTAGGCGTGTAACATCAGAGCTCTTGCACATGCTTAGCTCCAACCTTCACCTGAAAGTCAACCCTAGAGGAAGAAGGGACAGAAGGACTCTGGGTCTGGGACTCCATTAAGAAAAAACTTTCCTCCCTTATGAACTTCAATAGTAAACCCCAAACACAGATGTATACATACCTCCTCCTCATAGTCAGAATCACTCTCTTCACTGTCAGATCTAGGGGCAACTTCATAACTAAGGAAAGGAATAGAGAAAAAGAGGGGGTTTAGTTCTTTAAATGGTGAAACAATAGACACGCAGGACTTAAGGAGCATGTTCTGTGTACAGGTGACAGACGCAGAAAAGCACTTCCACCGTCTCAGCAAGCCCACATTGTTTTAGTCTCATGGACTTTACAAGGATCATCAAAACCTAAGAAGCCCAAAGAACACCAGTAATGGTGCTTTCATGCCATACCCAGGATTCATTTCCAACCAGGCGTCCAGCTGACTTGCTTTGGGTGCTTCTGGTCCAAAGAGGACTTTGCCAGTTTCTGTGTGAGTCACTTTGACAGGCAGGTCACTCATCTGACTGCTCTCATCTATTGGCTAGAAGGGGGGGAAAAGTCATGTCACTGCTGGATCTTAAGACACCCTCTCGGTCTGCACTAGACATTTCTCAGCCATTTGGCTGCCCAGCATCTGAAACCTTTCCTTGTGTTTTTAAGTTTCACTACCTAATGTGTCTGGGGGGGAAGTGAGAGGCCACCTCCCACTAAAGAACTCCCTGGAAGCTAAGGTGCAGGTTCGAGACCTTAGCTGCTTCAACTGCATGCATTCGCCAACACTCTGATTTAGGAGCCAGAAGTTCAAGGCAGTGGGGACCAACCGGTGCACCAGAAGAAGGCAGATCATAGTGGCAGCCATGTCAGTGAAGTGCCTTGGGCTCAGTCAAGCTCCCACTCCCAACAACAGCCAAGTAAGTCTTCAACAGATTAGTTGTACAGTACCATACTGGGCAGAGTTCTGGGTCTGATTCTCCGGTATTCCTGGAGATCTGATGAGTTACCAATATCCTCCTACAGGGTGAGCAGCCCTAATCCAAAAATAATCAAACTCCAAAGCTTTTTGAGTCTGACATGACACATACAAGTAGAAAACTCCACAACTCATAGAACAGGTCACAGTCAAAACACAGGTGGACTAAAAATATAGTGTAAAATTACTTTCAGGCTATGTGTGTAAGGTTTATGTGAAACATAAATGAAATGCATGTTCAGAGTTGGGTCCCATCTCCAAGACAATCTCATTATGTATATGCAAATTATTCCCCAATCCAAAAAAATCTAAAATCTTAAACATTTCTGGTCCCAAGCACTTAGGATAAGGGATACTCAATCTGTACTACATTCCCTTTTTTACCTAAGGCAGGCAGAGTTGATCTTGGTTTTCTGGAACTAACAACCACCACCTCAACTAACAGTCCTAGGTAACTATAGCAAAGCCTTGGTTTCAAAGAATCAGGAAAGAAAAGGTACTATAGTTCATGCTATCTCATTAGTGGCTGGACTGGCTTCTGCAGAACCAGTGTTCTTTATCAAAATCAAACTACCAGGTATCTAACTCAACCACTGTCCTGTATGATAAAGAAAAGGGCCTGATTATTTATAACCTGGTGGACTGATCAAGGCTAAGCTGAAGTTCATTACTAAGCTCTAAAAAATGTCTTGCTCAGAAAATTAAAAGAATAAATGAAATTGCAGAGGTTGTATTTAACCTACTCGAAAACAAATTGTCTCAAAAGGCCCCCAAATGGAGCAATCCTAGGCAAATGAATGCTACTGATGGGATACCAACTTCTAGGAGCACATTCCCAGGTAAGATGCTTGGAAATGCTTGATTTGTGATTGTTTCAAGTTCACCTACTTCCTCAAGAGCAATAAAATGGATTAGGCAATTCATTATTTCAAAGAATTTTTCCGAAGTTATTCTTAATTGGTTTTGTGGTCAAATAAATAAAGGAAACACTATCAGCTGTAATTAGGAATACTGTATAATTTACTATTCCAATTAAGCAAATTGACAGGGAAAACAGCATGCTGAGGGCTATCTACTATATCTTATAGGCTATGACCAAAAAATATATATATATACTTCTTTACTCCCTCAACAAAGCACTGTCAGAATAAAAAATATATAAACAATATACTAGTGATTGTTCACAAAAAATAACCTTAAAAGAAGAAAAAGCTTACTCCAGTTTATTCTTTTCCCTTTCATGCAGTCTAACAGAGTGATTTCAGGCACCAATAATTTGCGTGGCAATATGACGTTTCTTCCTCATTAATGCAAAAGGTCATCCATATACTCACAAGCTAAAGAAGGAAATCGACCACTTGCTATCATTTCCCTTGGAAAAAAAGTCATATCTGGAACTATTTTAATAGAGCTTGCTTTATTGCTAATGTCATGCCTCAAAGAAAATTGGAAATCACTGCGGCTGGAATTAGAACTTTGGCAAAAAACACTGAAGGAACACAGAAGATTAATAAGAGCATTATTTCACAACAAACTGAGCAAGATGTCCACTTTGCAAACTTCAGCAATCAGAATTCACATGTGTTAAAAATGAAAGTAGGGGGAAAAGGTATATGTCACAGGTCCAAGATCAGTGACTAATACTCCCAAGAGATAATAAGAGAAAGAGCACAATGACAGTAACATATTAAATCTCTTCTTGCATGCTTGCTAATTACAAATAGACATGCGACATGCTTAGGTAAGGCAAGCTGGAATCATGTCTAAGTGCTCTGATAGATAGTATTCTTCCCTCATAACAGCCCACTGAGAGTTTCTTCACTTAGACATTTATCCTGATCCTTTCTTCCACTGTGATGAATTACAGTAGTTAGACAACATTTATTTTCAAGGTTTCTGCATGGAAGGACCTTTTTTCTGCATCCAGACTGTGTGAGCACACAACAGGACTCGTGTGCACAGTGATTCTAGAATGAGAAGGGGCATCCCATGCCCAACCCTCCAAACAGGCTGATCAAGGTGTGAGGGAAGAGGTAGTTTCAAACAAACTTTCTTCCTGCTCTGCTTGGGGGATGTGCCTCCTCACTGTGAATCACTGGCAACAGATCCTTGAGTTTTTCAGAAAAAAAAAAAAATCCAATAAATAAATAAATAACTGTATCCTTCTGATCCAAGAGAACATTGGAAATACCAGGAAATAAAATTGAGGACTGTGTTCATGTATTTACATACATGAGCTCTACTCTAAGCCTTTAGAGTTGTCAAAAAATAAGTTAACCAAATACTTGAACTGTTCAATTTATATTTGTTTGTGTGTGGTACTGGGATCAAACCCAGGGCCTTGTGCATGCGAGGCAAGCACTTTACCCTCTGAGCTATATCCCCAACCTCTCAATTTATATATTTTTGTAGTTCCGAATTAATAAACAACTAGGGAAGCTGGGTCATACTTAATGCTTCTGTATTACTAACTGAGCAAATGTAGTTACAGAATCACGTAAAATTCACATACATTCCATATACTCATCAATAGGTCTATCTGTACACAGAAAATTTTGGAAAGGTCCACAAGAAACCTTATCAGTCTGAAATGGAAGCAGATTGCTTGTCATTGTATCCCTTTTACAGCATTCTGATTTTCTACTATGTACTACTGTTTTTAAAATGATTAGCTGAGTAAAAATAAAATTAGTACACACACAGAATGGTACTGCACTGTATATGAGAGGGACTCCGTTCAGCAGAGCGTGGTTGCAATGGGGGCAACTTCCCTTACCTCTCCATCTGGTCCCAGGGCAGACTCCCCACCCTCTGCATTCTCTTCAGCCTTCTGCAAAACAATGTCAAATGTTATGTGTTAATCAAGAGGATGGGACAGGACTTCATGACAATTCTTTGGTACATATCGTTATTTCATTATGGCCCATAATCATCTAACAAAGCTTAAGTGTGAATGTCTTTTTATTTCTCTTTGCTATCTGAGACAAAGCACAAAGCATGCATTGTATTAGCAACTGGCAGAGAGTCATTTAAAGCCAGATGTGATTCAAGGCCAGCACACTAGAGATTTGTGGATTGCATCTTTAGAGACCCAAAGAGCGTAAGACATGGCAGCACTGAGACAGCAGTGAGGACAAGAAACTTCCTTCTTGTGTTTGGCACCGTGGAGACAAATCCTGACATAATTAGTTCAACTTGCCTATTCCCTAAGCAAGTTTTCATCAGCAATAAAGAAGCAAGCGCATTCTAAAAATGTCCATCAAGAATCAGCTCTGGGCTGCTCCTGGGTCATAAAAATATAAAATAATACAAATTTCCATGAGTTTCCTGGGTGTTTTTCATTCTACCTAATTGGCTTTCGTAATATACAGCATTTCCACAGTGTGTATATAAGGAAATTGGATACAGATACCATGATCTCATGAAAAATTCTGTCATCTACCTTTTCTTAAATATTTCAATATCTTAGTCCATTAACCTCTATGTGCCTCAAAGACAACTAAATCAGTAGCTAAGATTATGTCACCTTTTATACAGAACCAAGAGAGCTCATCTGTAATATATACAAAATAGTCTGAAACTTCTTCCACTTATAATAACCTCTCTGACAAGTGAAAATATTTCATATCACCTTTACAGAATCTTTATTTTATAGTTATTACTGAAAAGCTATATTATTTCTATGTAAAACAACGAGAGGGAAAAAAAAAAAAAACTTCAGTCATTTCCTTTGTCAAGACATTGAAGAAAATGAGCATTTCTCCCTTGGGCTCTTTAGTTAATTAAAAATATATACAATGATATGGGATCAATATTAACTCAACTTCACTTACTTAAGACATTGATTCTATTAATATATCTTTGCCTTCCATGAAAATAATTCAATAGTATCTCAACAAAACAACTTTTATTGAAAACGTTCAATGTTTAAAATCTAACCTTTTGTTCATACTGAAAAGGGGCAGTGTTATAAATGTTTAAAATTTTTGAAGATCCTTTTATAAAATAACTCTCTTGCCAAATATCCGCATGTGTATGTATGCCAAGGCACAGGCATACAACAATGTAGCTCCTACCAAAGCATTTGGTTATGACAGTCCAAGAACTTAGTTTTCTGTCTATGCCACTCTGAAATAAAAATATTTACAAGCTCAAAAGGAATGATGGGCTTCCCAGTGCATCAGGCCCTGCAACTTAAGGCTAGGGAGGCAGTGAACAATGGCAGAGGCCCTCCCTCAGCAAAGAAACCATCCCTGCCTCCAGCCACTGAAGGACCCGTTTTTGGAAGTCTCAGGCACTGCACTCAAGGGATAGTTTTAATTAATGGGAGAAAGTCAATTAATCCCACCATTCTTTCCATGCAAACCAGAAATAAGCTACAAATTTGGCCAACAAAGAAAATCTAATGAGACAATGAAAAAGTCAATTTCAAATATCTAGCAAGTGGAACTGGATCACCATTTCAATGAATAGAACATTTAAAAGCTTGAAACACCATAAATGAATAGAAGCGAAACTATTCTGAAGGATACTTTCCTATGAATATACTACGGACTAGCCAGCATTATCTAAAAACTGCTTCATAATCGGGCCCTTTCAGTATGTAGAGTCCCCTAAACTATATTTAAAAATTGTATTAGGTATCAAATGCAAAGGCAAAGCACTATTAGATTTAAGCCTCCTGGTTCTGAAATTAGGCAACCTAAGCGTGAATCCCAGCCCTGGATTAAGTACAAGAAACCTTCACTGTGATCCTGAGCAAATCTGCTTCTCTGTGTGTCTTGGTTCCCTCTTGTGTGAAATAGGGATGGTAAGAGTCTCAGGGTTGCTGCAGGGCCAGATCACTGTTTCAACATGCACAATCCAACGTTCTACATAAAATATGCCAGAAGTGTCCACCTCTACAACATAACCAAGCCAGAGCAGTGTGAGGCTATTCTTTCATGTCCATAATTAAGAGTGTCTCTAGCATTGTCTAAAAACTGTCTCACAGGACTACAGGTTTGGGGCTTCTATTTGTTTTGCTTACTGAGGGATTCTCACACCTTGAAGAGCTGCGCTTAGCACCTAAAAGCCATTAAATAAATAGTGGGGGAATGCAGGAATGAACAAAAGCACCAAGAACAGCACCTTCTACTTTGATTATACTCACTCAATAATTATTATTGTAATCAGTCACCAATATATTTGCAAGTCACAAAATACTTAAGAATACACACACACACACACACACACACAATTTGTCATTGGAGTTCTGTGTGACTTCTCTCATATATGCCCTGTCCTTAGACCCACTTTTGCCACATTGTTTTAAGAGGCAGAAGCCAAGTAGTGCTCTACTCCATGATGCCCTTTCTCCCATGATGTTTTGGGTTCTGGCTTGGTAAGGGTCTCTGGTTGGTGTGCTTTCATAAATCCATGTTCTCACGTTAAACCAAATTTTCATCTCAAAATAAAAAGAACAAGCAAAACTAAGCCAAAATCCTCCCCTATTTAAATTTCTATCCAAGAGATTATGACTGGTGCTACTATGTGAGCTAACTTTGGATACTCTCCAAGCCCTTGGTGAAGTGGCCTAACACTACTGCAGCAGCAGCTATAGCATCTCCTGCCACCTGACAGATTTTCAGAGTTATCTGCAGCATGAAATCATAAACACAGGCTCTTAATATTGCTGGCTGACACCCGGGCTTACATTCATTGACTAAAAAATACCGAAACAAATACTGTAATTCATTCATTAATCAAGCTTGCACTGGCTTCTTCCTGTCTACAAAAAGTTGAGAACTAATTATGCTTCTGTAGGGAGGGAAGAGTCTACTTAACCTAGTCATACCAAGAGATAGAATGATACAAATTACTCCTAACTGGAGATAACTTGTTAGTAAAAATCATTCAAACTAAAGACGATTTGAGTTCCCAACTTCCAAGGTCAGTGTCAATTCCCATCCTCCACTTAGGAATGTTGGCGAACAAAGCTACGGTCAGGCTACTCATCTTCTACACAGAAGGTGTATAAAATAATGAGCAACGGGACTGCAGAGGGAAAGAAATCCCTAACTATGAAAATCCTGTGTAAGCTGAACTCAAGAAGAGGACTTCGGTGGGGCACTTTATTTAGTTTACCACATCACAGGGGCTACAAAGAGCCTCATTTTGTAAAGAAACACTTTTATGTCGAATATTTTACAATCTATTATAAAGTGAATGCATTTTATTCCCCAGCAGGTATTGTTACAATATGCTGAAACAACATTCCAACGTGCTGGCATCTTAAGGACTCATTCTGCTTCGCTGGAAACCTAAGCTTTAGGAACCACTTGGGTTACTTTTACTGTCATTTAAGCAGTGCTGTGAGCATTAAGATAGGTTATCAGGCAATAAAAAAATGCCCAGGAATATCAAATTAACAGGCATTTGCACATTACCTGGGTTGTATCTTAAAGACAAAACCAATTGGAACATTCTGATTCCACTAACTGGTCAATCCAGTTAAACAGGACTTTGATCCAAACTTCTGGTTTCACCTATTTGACATTAAACTACTCACATAAATCTAATCATTGTAGCACTGTGTCTACCTACTCTTTTACTAGGCCTTATACCCAAATGGGCAGAACTGCTTACAACCTTTCTTTCACTTAGGAGAATTTTACAGGTAAAAGCTGCAATAAACTGTACAGTCTTTGGAGAAATGGAAGACAAATTTAAGAATTCAGAAGAATCAGGAAATAACTTAAATTTAAAACAAAAGCCTCACCAACATCACTATTTTTGTATTTGATGCTTTTTTCACTATAAATTATGACAACAGGCTTTTCTGATTTTTTTTAACCTATCTACAAAGGTTGCAAAAAGATATTTCCTATCACTACATTGACCAATACAGCGTGTCAGGACAGTTCTCCCTCCAAGGAAACAGTTCTGAGCTTTACTTATAATAGCAATCAATGAGAGAGAGAGAGAGAGAGAGAGAGAGAGAGAGAGAGAGAGAGAGAGAAGAACAAAGCAACTTAGAAAAAAAATTAATGTAAGAGAAAAAAAATATAAGAGATCTGTGGCACAGTGAAACCCCATGGGTTTTCTGAGCACATGCCAATTTGTATCTCAGGTTTTCAAGAAATGTCACAAATAAATAACAAAAACATAGTTCTGCTAGTATACATCCCATTGAAAGATGTGGAAAGGAGAATTTCATATTTATATTTGGCTTGATGTCAAATAGCTCTGGAAGCAAAACCTCTGAAAAGGCTAGACTGCTAAGCAGTAACAGGGGTGCCCTCTAGCATAAGCTTTTGACCAGGTTAGGCAAAAACATATCCTAAGGCACTGCGAGAAATACCTCATTACCACCAGGAGCCATTCTAAATTAGAGCCTATGTAATTAGAAAATTCTCTTTGTAGAAGTTCAGGAGCCCAGTGGTAAGCAGAGTCCACCAAAAATAACAAATCATCATTTTTCTTCTGCATGCACCAAGAGTCAAAGAATCTATCACTGTCCTAAAAGACATCCTTACATTAATAACCAATTGATCCTCAAGTACAAAAATATGATGACCATTTATATAGTCAACATTACAAAAAATATGCAGTCAATGGACAAAAAAGTATTTCATTTTCAAAAACCTACAACCACATTTCAACTACATGATCACTCTTTTATATCACAGAATTCTTGGTACAACAACTAATATTTACTGAGCACTTAATATGTACCAGGAAGAATTCTAAATGCTTTATATAAACTTTCCCATGTAAACCTCACAACAAATCTGTGGGGTAAATAACTTCCTATCACCCTCTTAACAGACCAAGAGATTGAAGTACTGTGTAATACATCCTTTAATAAAATATTCTAAAAGGGAAAATTAATATGCATATTTTTCTTATACAGTTATGAATTTACATGATTCAGGGAGTACTCATCCAATTTACTCATAAGGCCATGTTCAGTCCTATTTCCATATACCTGGTGGCTTTATCTAGCTCCTTCTTTCTTATCCTGTCATCACCCTGTGGATATTAGAGAATAACGATGGCAGAGATCAGAGACCTTAAGGTCATGTTAAATGCACATAACAGCACCTTCTTCCTAAAACACTGCAGAGACTGGTTCCACATAATTTTATATTTTAATACTTAAAAATTCTTCTTCTTCCGACCCTTACGTAGATGCATATAGTTGACTTCTTTTTCTTCCATTTCAAAGGCAATAATGAAAGACCAGGCTGAGAATGAGAAGTTTCAAAAATGATTTATAAATATATACTACACATAAAGGCCCCTAATGGTGAGAAGAGAAAATTAAACAAGGTCATGAGAGGTTAAAGAAAACCCATCCCTTTATTCAAGAGTGACAGTAAACAGAAAGACAAAGGCCTTCTGTTACGTTGGGCTTTTTTATTTTCTCTTAAAGAAAAACCACATACTAGTTTACCACTGAAGGTAAAAAACAATCCTTTTCCAATTAAATTTCAAGGTCAACCGTATTCATCTTCAATGGCAAGTTTTTATAGTGGTCTATCTTTGGGGTCCTTCAAGTGTTGTGACCAGAGCAGGGCTATTACATCTCTGAGTAATGCAGATTTTCTCAAAACAAAGGTGTACTGATGCCTTTTTAATTTTAAAAAACATGGATCGGCAGAGCATAATATTAAATGCTCTCAGAAAAGGCTGAAAGGGAGAGCTCAGAATTTCTAAATTATGGATGCAAAAGTTTCCTCCATCAGAGGAGCTGGAACAAGCAGCTCTCAATCATTCCCTCTATTGGAGGGTAGAAGAACTACAGATAATACAAAGTGCTAAATAATGTGCTTTTGAAAGCACCCTTTTCATTTATTTATTTATTTATTTATTTAATTTTTAGTTGTAGATGGACACAATACCTTTATTTTATTTGTTTATTTTTATGTGGTTCCAAGGATCAAACTCCATGCCTCACGCATGCTAGTAAAGTGTTCTACCACTGCGCCACAACCCCAGTCCCCCTTTTTCTTTTTTCTGCACTTGAATAAAGGTGCATCTGGAATTGGTAACACACTTTGAACTAAGTCGTAAACCCCTGTCAAAGAGACAGAGTACTGGACGGGCTAGGAGGAATCTGGTTCTTTCCTTCCTTTTTTATCCCATTTCTGGCAAGATAGTCCAGGAGGGAAACACAGCCCCTTCTCCATGGTCCTGCTAAGGGCCTAGTGCTGATATGCTAGGTGTCCTGAGCACATGATGGGGAAGAGGCTGATGTCAAAGTAAAATTCCTCTACATTTACCATGTGAAATGACCAACAGAAGAAGGTCAGAGATCTCCACAAGGCAGGCTATCATTACTTTGATACCTATTATTTATTTGTCTGCTAGAAGAGCAGGGCCCACCTCTAATTTGACTCTGAGTTTCCCTTCACAGCATTTAACCACAGTTTATAATTATATATTTGGGTGAAAGCTTGGTTAATGTCTGTCTGCACTGCTTTTCTCTTTAGCATACAACCTAAGCTCATAGCAAGTATTCAGTTAATAGTTGTTGAGTGAAAATATAACACGGAAAGAACAAATGATATTAATAAACCTGAGGGCAAGAATTTGGAAGGAGAGAGTGCCAAGCTACAAATTCTGTAGAGTAAGCTGTGCTATGAGAAATATTGTAACAAATCCCCAATCTGCACACATCAACACAAAAACATCAGCAGCATCAATGACAGTCAACTATCTTTCTTTCTTTGTCCATGATGATAAGAGTACCAAATACCATGGCAGGAAACTGTTACTTATAAACCAGGAGCTCAAATCCAGGCCACTAGCTTTCATTTCTTCACCAGAAATATAGGACATGAACTTGAACACCAAAAACACCAATGATAGTGACAACCTCGGCAAGACACACCCCTAGATTAGGAATAAACAAAAACGGGGTCCACTCATAGAATTGTATCTGGTTTGCCTGTGTTCCTTTCACTAATTCTGACATTGTCTTTTTAAGTCAGAAATTTGGGAGCTAGAATTCTGCAAAGTCTATGATGCTGCACTGACAAGAAAATGAGGTATTCCTCTCCAACAAAATGTCTAAATCCAAGCCCTGAGTCATCCCTCGTTCGTCTTCACAATAAGGTAAGCTATCTTACACTAAGGAAATCAGGGTCGAGAAGGCACCTTCTCAATCATTTATTCCTCCTCCTTAATTATGAAACAGGTATGAGAATTCAGGAGCCATGAAATTAATTATTTTTTGAAAAACATTTTGTTCAATTATTCAGTGTAGAGAATAAATGATTAAGTGCTACCAACCCTCAATCTTCACAATTCTGATGAAGACTTTCTGTTGATGTTTGTACCTGGTATAATCAGAATTTATCATGAAAACAAAATACAGTCGTCCCTCGGTATCCATGGGGGATCTGTTCCCAGACTCCTGTGGACACCAACCTCTGAGGATGCTCAAGTTTCTTGTATAAAATGAAAGAGCACTTGCATGTAACCTAAACACATCCTCCTGCATACTTTAAATCTTCTCTGGATCACAGATGCCTACACAATGTGTTATGTAAGTCACTGTTAAACTGTATTGTTTATGAAATAGTGACAAGAAAAAAGTCTGTTTACTTTTAATACACACAAAATTTTTAAGAATATTTTTTATCCTAAGCTGTGCACAGTGGCGCACACCTGTAATCCCAGTGGCTTCGGAGGCTGAGGCAGGAGGATCACGAGTCCAAAGCCAGCCTCAATTAAAGCGAGGCACAAAGCAACTCAGTGAGACCCTGTCTCTAAATAAAATACAAAATGAGGCTGGGGATGTATCTCAGTGGTCGAGTGCCCCTGAGTACAGTCCCTGGTACCCCCTTCCCCCCCAAAAATATTTTTGACCCTAGATTGGTCAAGTTCGTGGATGTATATTCACAGACACAGAAGGCTGATCATCAGCCAAGAACTAGCTAGATTACTGGACTATCTGAATTTTAAAGAAATCTGCATTCAGAGGCCTACACTCAGCAAGTCACTTCTGAATTGAGATATAATAGCTGAAGAACAGAGATACGAAATATTACCCTTCATTTCTCATCATAATTAGGTTATATTTTACATAGGACTATTTTTTTTCCCCTCTAACTACCTAAAACCCTTATCTGCACACTTATCTCACTGCAGCATCAGGGCAGCAGAACTGAATGAGCAATTTTGTCATCACTATCTGTCCAAATAGGCTGAAATTTGTTCCAAAAAAAAAATCCTAAAAGCTACCTCGTACATCTTCCTTTGGCTTATTTCAATCTGTATATTGCATTATTCTTAATTTTCATTCCAGTTTCTTAACTCAGCAGTCTCCTGCCACACTGCCATTAAACTTAAGCAAACACTTATCTGTATGTTTTTATTCTTCCTGCCAGTTGTGTGGTACTCAATTTAAAATATTACACTGTATTAAACAATGAAAATAGAGACTATTACTTTGGTGGAGTACATCCTGTCCTTCATACCCTTATCTCCAATACCTGGTCTGTTCCCATACCAATTTATGCAGTTGTTGGCATTCAACAATCCAAACCTTCCATTAGTGTAGGAAGTGGTGCTTAATAAAGAGCAATACTCAAGCTCATCCCTGCCGGAAGAGCAGAGGCTCAGCCATCAACACTAGAACACCTACCTTCTTCTTCCTCCTCCTCTTCTTCTTCTCTTTGGCAGCTTGTGCTTGTTTATGCTCCCAAACCAGGTTGGTCAGATTGGCCACATATTCATCTGTCTGCTGCAAAAGGTAAGCTAAGCGCCGGTCTTTCTTTTGATCAATCAGTTTCCTATAGCCCTCTTCATCTTCAGCCTATAAGCAAAGGAGAGAGTGATGACAGCACCCTACACATTTTCTGACAACTGCATTTTAGGTTCTTCTCTGCTACTGACCCTCTGAACTTTGGTGGTAAGTGGAACAAACCGGATGAGCCAGGTTTCACAAGCCATCACAAGGGGCCTGGGACCAGGCAAACATACAGATGTACAACACCTGTGTCTGGGGACCCTGGGGTTCATAGCAAAGTCAGGGCACAAAGCCCCACTGTGTGTGTGTGTGTGGTGCTATCAGCACTTTGAGTCGGTGCTTTGTTCTTCTGTTTCCTTAACTGCACAAAAATAATTAAAATTTGACAATTCCCTTCTGAAGTCTATTTTTACTTCATATTTCAGAAAATCGTAAGTATAATAAAAACTGGATAGAATGGTACAATCTCTTATATAACTAACAGCAAGCAACAAAAATTAATGGGTGGCAACTCCTGTTCGATTGCTACCCTTCCTTCCTTTTACCCCAAACTGATTGTTTTGAAGCCAGTTCCAGACATAAGATCCTTTCATTCATAAACACTTCAATAAGTTAAGCAATCAAATAGGCTTTTAACAAATAATTTCTTAGAAACAACTAAGTATAAGAAACATTGTGGATAATAGGAAAGGTCAAACTTTGAGAATTTTTTTTTGTCAGAGACCTGCATTGCTGAGGTGACTGGAGACAAGTCATTTAGCACCTGAAGTCTGATACTGCTGAGCGATAAAACAGATACGATGATTTCCACTTCCACCTCCCATTAAGCAACATTATGAGGTTAAACAGAATAAAACTCTGATGTACTCTGAGCCACTTAGAGAGAAATCTTTTTTATACAACCCAATTAAAGGACACTCCAAAATATTTTCCTCATGTGATGCCTAAATAAAAGAAGCAAGCTGCAAAATCTTTCAGAGGCAACTGCATCACAGAAAAACTCGTGTCTTCAGTGCGAGGATGTCACTCCAGCATTTGCCCGAGTGACAGCAGCTTCATCACTCAGTCTGGCGGCTGTCTGCCCCATGAATGAGCGTGAACCTCAAATGCTATTATAACTCTAATTGCTTTTGGTTATGGTTGATCTCACTTGAAGAAAGAGTGATAAAAAACTTCAGTTTCTCTATTATCTGTATATTCCATCATTTAATTGCAAAAATTAATGATTTGCAAATGCCTAATCATTAGTGTCAAACCAATCTGTTACTGAAGTTCTAATATAGTTTCACTTCAGTTGAATCAGACAAATTTGACTGCTGACTGCTCCAATTACTATAAAATGGACTCCCTAGCTAGTGAGAAATCTCTTGGACAGTCCCCTCCCTCCCAAAAACAGAGAGGGAGGCAGGATAAGGCAGTAAGATTTAGGAACACCTGGAACCTTTTAAAAACATAGTGTCTACTTTATGGAATCTAAGAACAATTAATGAAAATAAAACACAGACTGTAATACCAGCAAGGAAGACAGTGTCACTCAGAATTTCCCAGGTACATAACTATGGGCTGAAAGTTTCTCTTCACCCACTCAGGCATTATGCCCCAGACAGTTCTGCAGGTCTCCTATCATCAGGACCGACTGCTTACACTTTCCTAAAATCTAGAGTGTGCTTTGTCCAATTTCAGAAATAAATAGCCAATAAAACCAAATACTCCAACAATATAAAGCTATCCCTTATAGATCCACTAAAAACTAACAGTGCAAATGTAATGATCCATGAATAGCTCTTGAGAATAACACAGCTGCCACAAAAAAGCAACATCTCAAAATTAACTTAAAAATCACTTTTTACACTGTTATCAGAATAATTTCTGATTAGCACCAAGAGGCTCCAAAACCAGGACCTTCTTGGATTCAAAGATAAGACCTAATAAGCTATTCATTAAAAAAAAACTTGATCACATCAGTTACACATTCACATTTTTTTCTGCAATTTGTATTTGGGGTAAAAATGGGAGTTCATAACTCACTTGAATCAAATGTATGAAAGATGATATGTCATGAGCTTTGTAATGTTTTGAACAACCAATAAAAAAAGGCAAAAAATTCAGTCATTTTTAGTATATTCAAACAGTTGTGCAACCACCATTACTAACAAGTCCAGAACATTTTCATCACTCAAAAAAAAAAAAAAAAAAACTTGATCATTCATACAGGTAACTTAGTGGTAGAGTGCTTGCCTAGCATGCACAACCTGGGTTTGATCCTCCAATAGCGTGCACGTGTACGTACACACACACACACACATACACACAGACAAAAGGACTTGGCCGTTCATCTCAGAGAAGTGATGTTTTTAGAAGAAACTCATTTATAATTCTTCCAGATCTAATTATCAAACTCCAGTAAAACACCGTCCCTGTCTTTATGTAAGTGAGAAGCTACAGTCTGTACAACAATGGTACAACACCACATTCATCAAGTTTGGCCCTAGATCTATGGCATAGATCTTTGTATAAGAAAGAGAAGACACTCATAGTCCATCCTCCAGAAATTCAAAGAAACTTTTTAACATGTTTGATAAGCAGCTTTCATTTCTCCTGCCTTATTTCATATTCTCAGTGCAGAGAGATATGAACCGAGCATCCGGCTGGGCTCCTGCAGGGAGCCCCCTTACCATCAGTCTCCGCATTCTCTCCTTTTCGATCCGCTCTGTCTCCTTCTTCTGCTCCCTTTCAGTGTTGGCATGCCAAGTTGCCACTGCTTTGGAAAGCTTCTGGATCTTCCCAGCCACAGATCGATGGTATTCCTTAAAATCTTTTGCATGTTGCAAAATACTGTTCAGGTATTCCTAAAGGATTCACAAGGGGGAGAAAAGGATGATTAAGATGCACTTCCCAACATCAAGGTATCAACTTAGTCCAAGACTCTCAATGTACACATAACACAACTCAGACTAGAATCTATTTTGGGACAGGTGCCCTGGCCTCTGCAAGTGAGGGACAGGCTATGGGCCAGTGGGAAAACGCACCTCTCCATGGCTGTGTTATTGCATATCTGTAGAAGAAAAGCCAACTCCATCTCTGGGGTGTGGCTGCTTCAACATGGGAAGATCCAGGACTAAAGAGACTGGCAATGACAAATTTAAAGCATATCGCTCCTGCACTCTAAAATAAACCTGAGGGACCTGGTATTTCCAGTGAAAAATCACGTTACAAAAGTAATGTTTCCTCTGCTCTAACTTAAATATCTTAGAACGGTGATATAAAATATGTTTATATGAAGTGAAAATGGCACAAATTTGTAGTCATTTTTTTAAATAGAGGAGGGAAAATGTATACCCTATTTATACTAAAATTCAATATTTTTTTAAAAGGAAACTAAGTCACTTAATTAAGCACAAGAAAAAAAACAAAATGTAAAAGATTATAAAAACAAAATTAAATCCTATATCAAACTATTTCAAAATATTCCCTACAAAGGAATATTTTTAAATATCTGCCCCTGTGAAACCTTCTACTGGGCCATCAAAAAGCCCAGGATCCCATATTTATACTTGTAATAAAAATAACTTTTTGCTCAATTCTTTCCTTTTCCAAGTTGCTTTTTCCCAGGATTTTGTTCTGGGAAACCCACCTATGCCTACCTGTTAGGCAGCTTTCCATGAAACCATGACTATGATACCTGTTATCGACTAAATGTATGATGTGTTTGCGGGGCCCCACCCCCCAACTCATATGCTGGAATCCTGCAATGTGATGGTATTAGAAGTGGGGCCCCCATGAATGGAATTAGTGCCCTTATAAAGGAATCCCGGAGAGCTTGCTTGCTCTCTTCCTGCCATATGAGGACACGTGAAGTCTGCACTTTGCAAACCACAAGAGGGTCCTCACCAGAAACTGGCTTATGCTGGCATGCTGACCTTGGCCTTCCAGCATCAAGAACTTTGAGTAGTAAATTCCTGTTGTTTCTAATCTACCTGGTTTCTGGTATTTTATTATAGTAGTCTCAACCAACAATATTTGACTGCAATTCAAGAAAGCTAGGTCCTAAACTTCATTCTGCTGCTGACCAAGTATGTGATCTCGGGCAGGTCACCCATTTATCTCTTGGCCTAAGTATTCTGATGTATAAAAATGATGTCGCTGAACTATGTAAACTCCAAGAGGCCTTTCTATTTTTGTGATTCTCCCACCACCTGAAAGGGACATATCTGCAGTCATTTTGACCCTGTCCAATGACCCCATCAGACACCTCTATCCAGGTAAAGCCCAGTTCTAAGGACCTGGTGTTTCTGTCGGCGCTTCCTCTCTTGCTCGATCTTCTGCTGCTTCTCCAGCTTCTCAGTCATGCGGGCTTCTCGCAGAGTCTGGCGCTTGCTCCGTTTGTATGCTTTGGAGTTGAGAGCCGTCTCCAGGGTGGTGTCCCTGCGCATGCAGGCCACCACCTCCTGTCTCAGCTGTCAAGAGGAGAGCTGTTAGACAGTCTCGGGAACAGAAGCTGGATTCCTGAGCCCTGACCTTCTCTCTTTTCCATTTAATGGAACAGAACTACTTAAAGTTTCTCAGTCACAGTTAGCCTAAACTAAATGAAGGAACTAAAAACATGTCAGATTCACATGGTATTTTCCAGGATGGTATGAATTTTCTTTCCAAATAATTCAGATAAAAAACAATTATAGTAATGTAATAGTAAAAAGGGAAAAATATGGATGTTGTCCTGACTTTAAATTAATTCATTCTCTTTAATTACTCTCATGATGTTATTTAGTTAATAAGCTTTAAATTTTTTTACTTTGTTTTAAATGTCATGCTAAGATTCTCGTGTGTTTAAAGATTACCCTTAATGATGATTTGCAAAAAGAATAAAAGAGGTGCTTTCTATTCATGTCATAAGGTAGCAGTAGGTACTCAAATAATATGAATTCATAACCTAAAATAAATGATGCAAAATACCTGTTTTGCTTTCCTCACACTCAAAAATAATATTCTTTGCAATATATTTAAATTTTATATTATATCATGAGCTTACTGTAGGTGATCATATTGTATGCTATATGGCAGCAGGAGAAGGGGACTTGGGAGCACACATTACAATACTCATTCAATTGAATCTGAAATCAGCATCAATTGCAGTTAATGTAATTGGGAAACTTTATAGGTGACAGATTTTTCAATACTATCAAACAAAACTCAGATACCAGTAAGAGTCCAGCACAATGAAGCTCTTTTGAATCTAAGCTTATTCCTGAAAATAAATTTAGCTAATATTCACTTAACAAAATTTTATCACTTTCATTAGTTCATATTATGAAGTCACCTATAATAAAGAAATAAATGGAACTTGGAGGATTTTCTTTTTTTTTAAATTTAAACTAAATTCAAATCTATTGCCAAGTAGCATCCAGCCACTGATGCCTTTCTGTAATGACAACCTATAAGTCAAATGTACATCCAAGTTCACATGATAACAGCACAGGAAGTAGCCTAAGGATTTTAGTCACATCCTCCAACAGACCAAATCATGCAATTCAATACTTTCAAACTATATTTATTTATTAATAATTCATTTTTCACTCCCTGGCCTTCAATAAAACAAACCCATCTAACTAGTAATGAAAATCTCTTTATCCTCTTTGACTTTATCTGGCAATCTGTAGATGGGGAGACCTGCACCTTTGGGGTCAGCATGGCAAAACTCATCAAAGTAAAAATTAGTTCCACCTCATTTCACAAGTCTCCTACTGATTTGGAAATCAGAAAATAGATCATTATGCTAGTTTTTAAGAAGTGACTACTTAAAACTATAATAAGACCAGATAACAACTCATTGATTAGTCAATGTGGGATCAAGTGCCCCAAAGTTAGGTTTTGAAAAGAGTAATCAAGTTACAAGACATTGTTTCATGCACTTCTATGAGTAATGAGCTATATAGTAGAAAGGCTATCACATTTTAAAAAATTATTTTCATGACTAATATTTTACCTTTGTGCTTACCAAGAAACTCTGATCAACCACCTCCTCATTTTTCCTTGGCACCATAAAGGCAAATATGAGCTAGCCCTAATTGTTCTCCAGGTTTTTCATTCACAGTAACAAATGCCCAAACCCTGATTTTGTAAACCAGAGTCCAGGGGAAGAAATGTTTCTGATGTGCAGAAGAAAAAAACATAATAAGCAATTCATCTATACTATTAGCTATACTCAGTTGGTCTAAAAGATATGCTAATTTGCTGAGTTTATGTCTTTATAACAACATTGAAGAGACTAAAGGAAACACTCAGATCACCCTTTAGGAACAATTACATTTACTTCCTACATCTCAGATTCACTGGGGAAAAGGTATTACCTGACGTTGAAAATTGAGCAACCGAAGTGCTTTCAGTTCCACGGTTGCTTTGGTTCGTAAATCAGGTGGCAAAGAGCCAGGCAGATTTTCCAGTTCTTGAATCCTATGAGCTATTCGAGCCTGAAGTCTGAAAGGAAATAATAAAATGGGGGGAGGGGGGAGATGAAAATATACATTACGATTTAGTCTTCAATGATCAACAATAACCTCAGTTCAAGTTCATGGCAAAACATACCAGTTACTGACAGTAGATTTCTGACACCCAGCTACATTGTTTGATGTTAAGCTGAGAAAAGCTACCTTTGAATTAATATAGACAGGTGCTATATGTTACCTAACACTCTGACTTTCTCCATAACTTCTCTCTAACACCCGGAAAGAAAGCTCATGCTACATCTAGGGGGAATAAAATCAAATGTTCTTGCTCATTCTTAACAAACAGAAAATGAGAGACAGGAAAATCTGACTTGTTCCCTAATTCCCAGCCAGCCAGAGTGCACAGCTGAGACCAGAATTTTCTTTTTAACCTCCAGTTCTGTCCTAAGGCAACCAGGCCATTTGTACTCCTTGCCAAGACTCTGATGACAACAGCAGCTAAAGCAGAGCAGGCAAGAGCAGTAGGAACTGAGGCCACAGAAACCAGCCAACCCCAAACATTCAGACAGCCCTGCCAGCCACAACCACTTCCTCTGTGCAGAGTGCTTGCTTGAGAAAAGAAGACAAATTAGGCATTTTTCAAAAATCAGGGGCATCAGTACATAGAAGTTAAAATCTAAGAGTTTCTAGAGAAGGATGCTGGGAATTCTGATTTTAGACTCCATCAAAAATATAACTGCAGGTACTTCCCCATAATGAAAGCAGAACAGAAATACAAGACATCTCTCTTCATTCCTTTGGAATACCATTATTGTCACAAATACACACTTGAAATAGGTTTTAAACCCTATTCTTATGCGTAATTATGTGTCATTTAAATGTATTTGCCTCCTAAATTGAGGGCAAAACTGTGTTGGAATAGAGTTCATAAAAATAGTAATAAAAGAAGTAGTGAGTTAACCTAGTAAATACTAACTATACTAAATTAAGTGCATTTAATGGATGATTTTATTTAATTATCTCTCACAAACACAAGTGCATGTGCACAAGCACACACTCATCTCACAAGGTGAATACTACAATGGTCCCATTTTACTGATGATGAAAATAAAAGAACTTTTGGACATCATAGGACCAGAGTTGAAACCCTCATTTACCTGATACCAAAACCACTCTGATAATAAAGTTAATCATTAAAATACACTTTCTGAGAACTTTCCTGGCCTCCACTACAAAAGTTGGAAATTAAGGATTCTGTCAAAAATGGCTATTACATTATTTTTCAACCTTTATGATGTTGCAGAGTAATTTGAAAGAGTAAAACCTTGTGATACTTAGGTGCTGCAACGGATCTTCATACTTCCTATGGCCTAAATATCAAGATGAGTGTGTGCCTAAAAATTTCAGATGTTTGATTTGGGAGGGAAATAAAATACCATCTTTTTCAAACATTTAAAGATGATTAAAATAAAAATGACTTATTTTCCACTGGCTTCACTATAAATAATATAGATGATAGATTCCTATTTTATTTGGTACGCTTGCCATTGATTCTGATTTGCTAAATGATTTATCACCATTGTGTTCACATTATCATCACCACCTAGCTATTACTTTACAGTAAGCACACCATTGCAAATAATAGCACTTTTAAATGGTCTAAACACCTAACAGACTAAAATTGTGTGAGTTCAAACAACAATGAGAAGATTTTACCCTTTTACTTTTCTGGAAATATCATTCAAACTCTCTCAAATTTTTCCCTCATCCCAGTCATGATGGTCATGGGGTTATTATCATGGTTTTTTATTTTTATTTTATGAAACAAATACAAAATTCATTTATCCAATTCATTTTATTAACCATACACATAGCCCCAATTCTCCAAATATAGCAGCAGATGATATATCTTGATACTCAGGCCATTAGGAGGAAAATCCACTAGGGGAAAAATGTAAAATACAAACAATTTTACCTTTGAAACTACTTTACTTTATGGCCTTATGATTATGCCCATAAGAAAAGAAAATCGAATATTGTAGTGGAGTGAGAGGGCTGCCAACAATTTGGCTACCCTGGTTCTAGATTTGTGACAGACCTTCCGTATTTGAATAACCTAGAACTCAAACTACCCCTTTATATTCTGGTTTGCTCTTGGACAAAGTGAGCCAGGTGCTAAATCAGAGGGAATAGCTGCCTTTTCCTTAATCTTCCAAAGGACTATGGAACTAGGAAATAAATAACCTCATTGCAGGACAAGTGGCTGATGATGCTGAGATTAAACCTCACTGAACTACAAGGGGAGGGTAAAGGAAGGGCAAAGGGGGAAGGGTAAAGGAAGAGGTGTGGAGTGGGAGCTTGCAACAAGGGGTGTGGGTGCCTGAGGCACTAGAGCAGGTAGGAACTGGGGGGTACACTTCTTTCTCCCTGTGATGACTGCTTCTCCTAAGGGTCTTGTCATTTGTTAATGAATCTCAGTCCCCAACACAAAAACATCTCTCTTTTATGAAAGGGAAGCAAGAAGTACAAAGTAAAAACTCTGGAAGAGGCAAGGAAACCTTCACAATGAAATGATATGCATTCAATTCTGCACATGGTGGGTAGATAGCAAAGGTACAGGAGGGGCTTCTTTAACATAGAAAATTATATCTTTGTTGTTGTTGTGCTTAATAGAAATGTTCATTTTAAATAATGCTCCACTCCAGACAATTTCATCTTCCCATCAGTGGGATTCGGCAGGTAGTCTGATAAAGAGAGTCAGGATTCTGAACTTCCTGAAACAACAGCAAGATGTAATACTGCATGACTGCGGGAGACTCATTTAGTGTCCTCACGAGTACAGAAAATTGAAGCAGAATTAGGTCACTCAGGTTTTTCATACAGATGAACAGTAAATCAAGAGGGGTTACTGTTCTGGCAAGAAAAAGAGTTCCATTAAAGGCAACAGATATTTGTTCAGGTCCAGAGAAGAAGTTTATGATTCCTGTAGGAGAGTTATTTGAACAGAAAATGACACTGGTACATTTTGTTCCTTCAAGGAGCTGAGTGACACTTTAAAAAGACAGAGAGAAAGCATGTGTATGACTTTTTGTAACTTTGCTGGTAAAGCGGCTATTGGTAATTTTTGAGAAGAAATTTTCAGGGTTGCAATGGAGACTAGGGCAAGACCAAAAATACCACCAGTAGGGAGCCCATGCTTGCTCCCGAAACAAGCAGACTGTTTTCACACTGAATTCTGACTCCATTCCATATAGGGCTGATATATTCAAAGATACCCTTCCCAAATAAACCCCTTCGACTGTGAAATGCATTTCCCATGCAAACATTCGTGGAATTAGTTTACACGCCAATGCGACAACTCCTGAAGTACTTTTGTTCAGACATCTAACTCTAAATGGAAGGAAATGAACTTGGGTGTAATGAGACGGCAAAGGAAGTATGCCAAAGGGGGGTAGGAGCAGCGGGTAGAAATCTCTCCCTGACACTAACTACAGAAAGAAGCAATAAAATTCCATCAAAAACGAAAGGATCCAATTTAAATAGGGAAAAATGTCTTAACTGGAGAGCTTGTACAGATCTGAGGCAAAGTGTTCACATGCAGAAACTTATTTATGCTACGACCTACTAAAGAAGGTCAATTTGTCAAAATTCTGATTTTATGATGAACAAGGAAAAGCCAGCCAACGGACTTAAAAGTTAAAAAAAAAAAAGTAAGTTCTCATAATTTCCTTGCAGTTTTCACAGACAAGGTAAGTGATATTATAAGGGCCAAAGATATTAACATCTGTTAAAGAATTTCTGACAGATAATTTTTGCTCAAAGTTTATCAAAGTGTAAAAGAGGTTTTTCAAGACATTGTTCAAATCTTTAGCCAGATGATAAAAATGCAATGGATCCTTCTTGTAACCAGGCTAAAGACTAGTAAGCCATTCTACTACAGAGAATCAAAAGAAAAGAGGTTTGTGACTGTCTTGAAAAAGTATCTAAAGGCCTTAATCTAAACTTTTTAATAGATAAATTTAGTCTCTGCAGATAAACAATTTATCTTCATATAAGCAAAAAGCAACTATTACTCTATAAATAACAAAGATATGGTCCTGCAATATTACCAATAGAAACTTATGCTTCTTCTCTAGAAGGCCATAAAAAAATTCAGACCCAAGGTTGTTGAGATCAATGATTTCTAAAGCCACACAGTTTACAAAAGATATTAAATAATAATAATAATAATATGAAAAATAGCCATTCCACCACATTTTACAATGTGTATAATTTAAAAGGAACTGATACAAATTTTTTATTAATATGGGGTTGGAGAATAAAAGATTTTCATAACCATCCATTAAGATCACACTTCCAAAAAAGGTACAAATATGAGCTCATTACAAATTAGCCCTGCAATTAAAATTCTGGTGAAAATAATATAGAAAATTTAGGAGTCAGCAAAATAAACAGTTAAAACACACACACACACAAAAGAAACAGGCTAAGGAGAAAAAGCCAGATATTACACAAAATTTCTTGATAGAGAATGTCTTGAGGGCAATTCATATGATTTAACAAAGGTACAGCAGCTTTGCACCTTCAGAGTAGGAAAAAAGAATGTTAGTTCTTAGGGAATCCAAAATTTAGAGTAACTTCACAATGCCTCTTTACCCTATTGTTGACTTTTCAATGTCTATATTAACATACACAAAGTATTACACATGAAGACAGTTCTCCTGCCTTGGCTGGGCTAGTATTTGACACTGTACCACAAAACTATTCACCCAATTGAATCCACATATCAGTTTTGAAATATTGTTTGATGATAAGTATCTAGCATTCTAGGTATATGTGAAATTTTGAAAACTACAACTTAAAGGCTCTTAGCTGAGGATAGTAATGAAAGAGTAAAGTTATACTTCTCTGCCAAAAAACTATATACATCTAATGCCAGTTACTATGAATCTTTCCAAGTAACCCTCAAAATTGACTAATTTTAGTCTAATAACAAGTCATGTGCTTGTCAATAAAGATTAAGGTAATGTTTTAAAGGGGAATTCAAACAATGTATACTAACATTAATTAAAATTTTAAATGCTGATTTCCTTTAAAATTAAATAATATTGGGGAAATAATAATAATAACTAATATTTACTGAATGTTTCTATGCCATTATGTCTTCCCAATTCTATGAGAAACACCATAATACCTTCTTTTAACATATGAGTACACTGAATCACAGAAAAGAAATGTAACCAAGGTTATATAGCTAGTTGACCATAGCATACTTTCTGAAAAAATCTAGGATCCACAGTCTTGGTTTGGCTTTATCTTGGCTCAATACTAAGTGAACTCCCTTTTGAGTTGACATTCACCATTTACATAAGGGGTCTGCAATACAGTGTACAGGTCAAATCCTGTCTACAGTCTGTTTTTATAAATAAAGTTTTATATTGGAATGAAGCCAAGCAATTATTGCCTGGGTATTTTACACAAAACGGGCAGAGCTGAGTATTTGTGCCTGGGAGGTGCAACTCTGCAAAGCATAAATTTTCTTCTGTCTGGTCTTTTACAGAAAAAGTCTGCCAAACCCCAATTTTGGATAAAAATGCCAAATTCAGTGAAAATTAAGTTTCTGAAATAACATTTTAAATAAGGACCCCATTTGAAGATACTTACACAGGATTTTCCAAGCAATAGACCAAAACATGTGTGATTTAAAACAAAGAAAATATTATAGCAATCTACCAAAGCATACTTTAGTATCATGAGAAGTGCTACCAATCTGAAGGTCACCCCAACACAGCATACTCAACATCTGATCACCTCATAGACCGTCAAGGGCATAAACTGACAAACAAGGAAAACACACTGCGTAACCCGAGAGTGAGATGCCCATATCCTTGGGCTTTTGATGTCTGGATCCCAGCACCTGTCATGCATGGAGGGGATAAAGTTTTCTTGACTGCATGACCAAAACCACAGTCGGCCACCACAAAGTCCCCGCAATGGCACACAAACTCTTCTCTACAGCTTTGTTCTGAAACCATTTTCGTGGCATGAGTTTCTGCCTCCAGAGTTTGCTTTTGGCTCTTCCCTGTCCCGTAACAGAATGACCACAGCCTGAGGAGGCACCTCAACCCTTGTGCAGGACAGCACTTGCCAGTCCTATGGCTTGACCCCTCCCAGGCAGGGCAGTACCTGTATTCCCGCTCCTGCAGGATCTCCACGGGGTCCAAGCCTTGTGGCTTCTGGATAGGGCTGATGCGGCTCTGCTTCTGTTGCAGCTGCAGGATGGGCGAGGGCTGCCCGGGGGCTGGTTGTGGCACGGAGGGCCCCGGCACTGCTGCTGCAGGCTGCTGTGCGGCTGTGGGGGGCGCAGGAGAGGGCCTGCCGCTGGGCGCAGGCACCGGCAGCTTCTGCGGGGTACTGGGGCCGCTCAGCAGCTCGGGCCCCGGGCCTGCAGGAATAAAAGTGACATGGGCAGGGGGGGCAGGGCAGGCAGGGTGGTGCCCACTGGCCACACACCTGTCCCTGGGGACCAGAGATGAGACCCCCAAATGTCTTAAAATACATAAAGGCAAGAGGACATAAGGAGGACAGGAAGGAGGGAGGGGAGAGGAGAAAAGAGAAAGGGAAAAAGAAAAAAAGGATCTGGCATCTATCCCAATAGGGAAATGGTATTAACTAACATTGGTGAACAAGGTCCAAAAATGATTCATAGGTAATAAATTAAGGATATAGCGGGATAGCTTTTAATGCAGGGCTATGATGGGCTTTTAAAAAAGAATTACAGGTGCATTCAAATTTCAGAGGCATAAGGGAGTTACATAACAAGGGATGCAACTTCAGAGGGGTCCACAGCAGCCCCTTTACTGCAAACCTCAGACCCAGCCTAGGGGCAAGGAGTCTGCTGGTCTTCTGATGTGAGCTAAAAAGGGCTTACATTTTTCCTTAGTGGCATTTAGAACATATTTCAGGCTTCATCAGTAAATCTCAGGAACTTATTTTTTTTAACTATATATTAGAAAATATTTCTAAAAACAAGTCAGCGGGGAAATCTGCTTATTTCACCTGATAAAAATTTGCAAATGATTAAGATTCAAGAGAGCATTTTTCTCATGTTATCACAAGCAAATAACATACAACCTTTAAGCTTATCAAAATACATTTAAGAAGTTTAAAGTAATTTTCCACATTAAATTTCATAGCTTTAATTGCTAGGTATAGATCTAAATAAGAAGTGCTACATCTCTACTCCTGGATGAATTTTTAGTGATCTTAAAATTATAAATAAGATTAGTGATGCTACCAGATGAGTTAGTAAATACAAAAAAATTTAGTAAGCATATGTTAAAGCTACTAACAGGCATTCTTCCAACTATTTTCTATATCCCTTCTAAGAAAAAAAGTTATTAAGTGGTAACAAACAATAGTCTATAGACTTCAGAATGGCTTAATAATTAACCATACAAAGACATACATTATGAAAAATGGAACACATTTATTCAATTTCCAACAAATACCATTCAGAAATGGGATCAAATAACAATGCAAAGAAAGCAATAAGCAAACATTTTGACAGGAAGAATGTGAAGAATCAGAACAAACTGCTTAGGAAATCACCTTGTGTGTCATCTGTGCTCGTGTGTGTGTGTGTGTGTGTGTGTGTGCGCGCACGCACGTGCATTATTAGTCTTTCTTCACCTCCTTCTGAAATTAAGCAAAACTTGCCAAAAGATATAAAGCCAGATAAGATTTCTTCTCAAGGTAATTTGCAGCCCTGGTTCTAGGAACAGATGGAAAAAATCTTGGGAGGGAGGGTGCATTTTCTATTTTTATTTTTTATTTCAAGTATTTTAAATTTCAGGTATGTACTATCATAATGAAATTTTTTTCCCCAGCTAAGTATTTTCTTTTTTTCTGAATGGGAGGTCCTTTACATAATGCATAGCTCTTCCTAATTTTTTATTTAGAGTTCCTTTCATCCATATATTAGAAACCAATTTCTAAACATTAAATCTCAGGGTTGTTAAAGTACTGGAATGAGTTATAGAGGGGAGTTTTAGAATATTTTTCCCCTAGAGGTCTTTAAAGTAGGGTACATTTTTCATTTGGGTTGCTTTAGGTAGGATTTGGTCAAATGAGAGGAGATACAGATTTCTAACATTTATTTTAATTCCCTGTGATCCTATGAATCTCTTTAATAAGCTCAAGAAGTTAATTCATTTAAATATATTGGAAGCCATAGTTTAAGTATACTAAATAGTGAACTTAATATATTTAAATCCTCCAAGAACCATTGCCTTCAATGTAAAGAAAATTGGGGTTTCACTAATAACATCACAATAATTACTTTAAATTCAGTTTTCAAAGTGTTTTTTCTCCTTTCAAAGTTCAAATAATTCACAAAGTCCTAACAGTACAACAGGGCTACACAAGTCACTCACTCTGGGCACTCATCTTTTGCATTGCTGTCTGTACGACTGATGCAGAATCCTAGGAGGACTCCTTGAGGTATTTTCAAGTCACCATTTTTAAAACTGTATTTAATCAAAGAAAGGTATCCAGTTATTTTTAGTCTGTGTCTCCAAACTAAATCTGATAAATATATGGTTAGCGTTCTTCAATTGCTAAATATAAAGACATTCTAATCTGGTTGACCCTTCCTTAACATCGAGAAACAGAGAAATCTAAACATAAACTTACATCAAATCTCTAATTTAAAAGTTCTACAACTTGATATGCACTAAGTAGGTACATTTAAAGCATGTATTTCTTCTCCCCAAAAGAAATGATAAGTTTTGTCTGAGCTCCAGCACCAAATGGTTGCATAAGCCTGAGCAAGTAACTTAACCACTCTATGCCTCAATTTCTTCATCTATAGAATGGGAAAAATAATAATGCACCCCTCACAGGGCAGTGGTGTGATCCACGTTTCCATATATTCAGCCCTCATCTTTATCACCACCAAGGAAAGGGAGATAAAGGAGCCTAATTTAATTACTATATATTATATTCTGCTTTACAAAAAAAAAAAAATCCTTGGCAAAGGAAACTTTGGGACTACTCTTTTCCATAGCACAGTTCAGAATGTCTCTACAGTTTAATACAACTTAGCACAAAAACTTGGACAAGTCCGCTTCATGTATGCTTCCTGCATCTGCCATCAGTGCCACTTATAAGCAAACTCCATTTCCTAACTAAACACTACAAGTTTAATTACTGTGTCTATTTTCTCCTCCCACCAAAAGATTATATAAATACTTCTATTTACAGTGGCTAGGGACCCAAACACAATTTGGTGCCCATTTTTTATGTTTGGTGCCTGTTCCTCAGGTGGCTTACAGTTCATTTGCATGGTGGAGGGTCTGCTCTCAATCCACAGAAATCACCTCTACTCCACACATTGATGGTCTACCACCTACATAACACAGGAACTTTCCCTGACATCTTCAAATGGAAGACAAATTACATTCTTTAGCTTATCTCTTAGCCTCTCTTCAATATAAACATTTTAAGCTTAATTGTCAGAGGTACAAAATGCTATCTACTTCTTCAGTCCTCACCTTAGAAGTCAAAGTAGAAACATGCCCTGGACCTCCAAAAGGGGTCCCAGCACTGCTTAAGGGAGGTCCTGAGTGGATGCATGCCACCTCATCATGCCTGATTTTTAATAGGGCAACAAACTTAGTAAAATACCCAAGTCTCACATGCACAGAAATTCTATGCATTCTGAACTCCCACTTGGCACAAAGGATATTGATGCAAATAACCATTCTTTGCCTTACATAGGAATTCAAGTGGTTTCCATAGGTTGGAAAAATAAATGTAATGAACAGTATGGGACATGCCAAGAAATATTTCAGAAACAACAACAACAAAACAATAACAACAACAAAAAAAAGTGTGAGGAGAGATAAGCACTGAAAAAAAAACTGAACAAAAACTTTCTAGCATAAGTTCCCTCCCTTCACCTTCCCCAAACCAAAACTTTTTCAGTTCCCTTTTTTATTTCCTTTAATCTCCAAAAAGAAAATTGAATCAAAATGAAAAGAAAAGGCTGGGTCAGACTGGAGTGGTGCCCACAGCAGGTAGGGTGTGTTCCAGGGCAAGAGTGGCCCATAATTCTGACTAGAAACCACTAGAGTTAGGCCTTCAGAGTTGGGCCTTCCATACACAGTACCTTCAGGTGAGCCATAATTCCCTGGGGGTGGCCAATGTGACCGCCCTTTTGGTGAATTCTAACTTTGGAGCTGGTTTGAGGCAGACCATCCCAGCCCAAAGCCTTCTCTTCACCCAAGCATAAGTAGAAAGTGGAAGAAAAAAAAAAAGGGAAATGCAACTGTCTCCAGGTAAGTGGACCTACTAACTTTTATTGTTTCCTGAAATATTAACCAGGATGGTTATAAGCAATTATATTTACTTTACTTTTAGAAGGGAGACAAACAATAAATAGTTTAATGTTAACTTTAAAAAATTTGGCCTTATTTTAACTCACCCTCATTGCCAATCTAAAACATGCCTTTGGCAAGAAAGTTTATCTTACTATGAAAGTTTATCTTACTAAGTTTAGAGGATTTAAAAATAGTGACTTGAAAATCTCCCTGGGCAATCAGATTTGTGGACAAGTTCTGCAAAGGTGGTGGATGAAAGCTCCTAACGGTAACAGAATCTTCTTTTCTTCTTTCACTCATGGCCTCCTTGTCCCCTCTGCCATAAAATCCTATCTTCCCAAATATGCTCATTTCTAATGGAGCCCAACTGTTAGAAAATACAAGATATGAACAGTGGGTAATAAAATGAAGTTCATCCAATGGCAAAAATCTGATAAGGGAAGACATGGGTATTGGAGGTGGGTATTAAAAAAAAAAAGAATAAGATCCCTCATTTCTGGAAATGATCCAGAAAATGCATGCAGAGTTGGGTTTATGAGAACATGAAGTATTGATTAAGTACATGTGCCCAGACAACTGAAAACTTCATCCTTTAAATTTTACTACTTCATTCAGTCCCATTATTTTAACCTTGGATGAAAATGTTTCTCAAGTGAGCAATTCAGCTTCCTACATTCTTAACACTTTGGAATTTCTTCCTGCTGAGTCTAGGTCATTTTTACAACGCCAGCGCTTGCAGAGGCCTGTGACAAGGTGACACCCCAGGACAAGCTGAACATTTAGAGGTTATGCCCAAGAGACAAGGTCCCAGACCACCATCTTTGGGGAAGTTTAGGCTTTGCTCCCTTCTCTCCATCAAGTCATCAGCTATCTGGTCATGACTAGCTGGCCTCTGCTCAAAACTTGTTATTTAAGACTGTTATATACCAAGGTGAGAAGATAAGATGACCAATTTTGTTGACACCGAAGCAAGAGTAAAAAGGCTCTACAAAAGAAGAGATGCTACATTCTTTACATACAGAGCAAAATGCACTTGCAATCTGGTACTCATACTACGAGACAGATTCTTTCTTTTGTCCTGATAAGTTTGTCAGGGAGGAAACTAGATAGGAAAGGGTCAAGATGAACCCTTAAGTCAGACTGCTGGGATCTGGATCCCAACTCTCCCTCCAAAGGGAGTGTAATACTGCAAAGTGCACCTTACCATGGGTAAGCTAACAGGTTTGCAGTGGGTGCAAGCTACACACACATATACATATTATTTTCCTCCTATATATCTGGCTGCATTCTTGAGAGCTGAGATTTTACAGTTTTAAGGCCTGTAGAGGGTTTAAATTGCCTTTTTCAGCACGATTTTCTTGTATAACCTTTCCAGTCATTACTGTTAAATCTTATGTGATCCTCTACCTACCAAATGGCTCAGCTCCATAGTAGGTAGCTACACAGAAATCTTGGTGCAATCAATACTTTTTTTCTCTTTAAAAATCAGTTGCCTTAAATATTCATCCATGCATCCAGCATAATTTGGTCAACTTCATTCCTCAGTTCTTCCGTTTTCCTTCCACTCCTCCCTCCTGCTTGGACCCGTGCTTCTACCCTACTGATCTCCCTTCTGTTTTCACAAGATCTCCTTTTTCATTCCTAATTTTCTCTCTAGTTTCTGCATATGAGGAAAATTACTTGACCCTTGACTTTCTGAGTCTGGCTTATATCACTTAGCAAGATGTTCTCCACTTCCATTCATTCACCAGCAAATGCTGTAATTTCATTATTCTTCATAGCTAAGTGGAATTCCTGTGTGTGTGTGTGTGTGTGCATGTGTGTGTGTATAACATTTTCTCTATCCATCCATCTATTGATGGGTGCTTAAGCTAATTCTATAATTTTACTAGTAATGGACTGTGCTGCTATAAACATTGGTATGTAAATATCACTGTAGTAGGCTGATTTTAGTTCTTCTGAATAAATACCAAGAAGAGGATAGCTGGGTCATATAGTGGTTCCATTCCTAGTCTTTGAAGAACCTCTACACTGCTTTCTAAAGTGTTTTTACTATATTTGCAGTCCTACCAACAATGTATAATAGTACCTGTTTCCCCTATACTCTTGCCAGCAATTATCATTATTTTAATTCTTGATTGCCATTCTATCTGGGGTGGGATAAAATCTCAGTGTTGTTTTGATTTGTATCTCCCTGATTGCTAAGGACATTGAACATTCTTTCAGAAATTTCTTGACAATGCATTCCAATTTTATATGTAACTATAATGCATCAATTAAAAATTAATAAACAAAAGGAAGACGAGCAGAATAGAGGACTGGGATGAGGGGGAGAGAAGAGAGTAGACTGGGGATCAAAATGGAGAAAGCTACATATATGCATTTATAAACATGTCAAAAGGAACCCCACTATTTTATTTATATATATATATATATATAATATATATATGTATATATATATATAGAGAGAGAGAGAGAGAGAGACATTATCTTTATTTATTTATTTTTATGTGGTGCTGAGGATCCAACCCAGTACCTCACATGTGCAATGCAAGCTCTCTACCACTGAGCCACAACCCCAGCCACTGAAACCTTTTTTTTTTAATTGCCAGGATCTGAATGTTTGCCATCCCCCCACCTAATTTTTATGTTGAAATCCTAATCCCCAAAGAAATAGTATTAGAAGGTGGGGCCTCGGGGTGGTAATTTAGCTAGGGTGTCAGAGATCTCATGAATGGGATTAGTGCCTTTAAACAAGAGGCCCAAGAGATTTCCCTCACCCCTTCCCTTCCACCATATAAGGACACAATAAGAAAGTGCCAACTATAAATACAAGAGAAAGTCCTCAGCAGACTCCAAATCTACTAGCACTTTGATGCTGTACTTCTCAGCCTTCAGAACAGTGAGAAATAAATTTCTGTTCTTCTTGAGCCACCTAGCTTACCCTATATTGTTATAGCAGCCTAAACAGACTAACACAACCACTTTTTTCCCTGTTTTTCAGTGCTAGGGACCAAACCCAAGACCTGTGCATTCTAGGCAAGTTCTCTGCCACTGAGTTACACACCCACTGGCCCTGAGACACCCATTCTTAATGCTATATCTACAGTTAACAAGACGAGTTTATCATTCAGGTAAGGCAACTCTTAGAGCTGACTCTACCAGAAAAAAACTCACAAACTCAAAAGATAAAATATTTAAAAACAAAAAAATTCTGATCTGAATTATTTTCCATGGTTCGAGTCACAAAACTTAAGAAGAGTGCTAACATAGCAAACTAATTGTTCCTTAATGACCAGCATCTCAGGACTTGCCCAAATGAGTAGAAATCATTCACAAGAAATGTTATCGATGTCCAGGGAGCATCCCATTCCCCACAATCCCAAGCTCTCATCAGAGCTGAACTATAAACTCTGCTTGTCCATTTCTTAACAACCACCATCCTAGATGAAACAACCTTCATAGAACATCATTCTACAGCCCTTTGTAGTCCTCTGTGTTCTATCACCAGGATCAAGTTAGACCACAAGAAGGCCATGCAAAGGACTCTGTCATCTCTACCTATTACATAATATCATAACTTCTAACTTTATGCCACGGAGACTAAGACATTGGTCATGTGGAATCTGTTACTCTATTATGAATAAATTTTATTGAAGTTTTTAATCATGCAAAGCCTCTTGCAATAATAAAGATGAAGATAACAGTATAGTCAGGCTTCCATATCTACCAGTTCCACATCTGTGAATTCAACCAACCACAGATAGAAAATAGTCAGAAAAAATAACTGCCTATGTGCTGAACATGGACAGAGTTCTTTTTCTTATCATTATTCCCTAAAAAATATGGAATAACAGCTATTCACATAGCACTCAATTACATTAGATATTTCAAATGATCTAGAGATGATTTAAAGCACAAGGGAGGATATGCACAAGTTATATGCAAATACTATAGCATTTTATATAAGGGACAGGAGCACTGTGGATTTTGGTATCTCTTAGGAGTCCTAGAACAATCATCCTCAAATACTGAGGAACTACTGTAGTTTAAACAATAATCTTACCCAGAAAATCTACTTTATATTTTCAATCTATAAGTGGTTTTGTGTGAGAAATTGGTAAGCAACTTCCTTCCAAATGGTGAGAATTGTTAGGTGTATGATCCCCTCTCCTTATGGCTGTCAGGAAACTCAAGTGGCCTTTGAAGCTTGACCACAGCAACTAGGAGGGCTCTTGCGATCCCCACATCCCTGACCTCAATTTCTTACTTCTTTTAATACTCTTCCTTGTTTCTGATTTTCTATTAATTATTTTACTACAGGTATAATTCTGGTAGACCTCCTTAAATGCTTTTCCAACAAAAAGGAGAAAAAAACAACAAATATAAAAATGGCTCAGGTGGGACCTATTCAAGGAGGGAGTTATGTTGATATATCACAGTGGGTACAAGTGTCCCTAACCTGAAGTGTGTGGATAGGCTTCTGAGAAAACATGAAGATTTTGCAAGAGAATGAAAAATTATGGGTGATTGTGCTTTCTTTCTAGGTCAGCAGTTCACATGAGTCTCCAAAGGTTAAGAAACACTGCTCTAGGACTCTATAGCAGTGGGAGACCAAGAATCTTGGCCAATCTAAGTGGAACAAGAAAAGAGAGTCGGTGAGGTATAACAAAGGACTGAGTCAGCCCTGGGCTTATTCCAACCCAGCACTGTGTGTGTGATCAGTCTTTCTTATCCGAGCTGGACCATGGCATTATTCGTTTGGTTGCATATTAACCTACCAGATGGTCTGTTGTAGTTAACAAGGGTCGGCTGCTGCTGCTGCTGCTGCTGCTGCTGCTGCGGTGCCTGCTGCTGCTGTTGCTGCGGTGCCTGCTGCTGCTGCTGCTGCTGCTGTTGCTGCTGCTGCTGCTGCTGCTGTTGTTGCTGCATGCCAGGCAAGGTCCTTTTCCCCTGCACTGCAAGCTGCAGTGTTTCGGGGAGGGGCTGGCCCCGGGCCAGCATTTTGTAAGCCAAAATCTGTGCTCTAAGCTGATGCAGCTGGACAGGACTGAAAGGCGAGGGTCCTCTGTTGGGCTGGTTCATGGCCTGTGGATCGCCCGGGATGAGGGGCCCTGGCTGGCTCGGTGGCATCTGGGGTGGCGTTGGGCCTCCTCCAGATATAGGGCTGGAGACATGCTCTGGGGCTCCCAATGGAGACGGGTGTGGTGACATGTAACCTAAAATAAAACACAAGGAGATCATGACCCTGAAAGAGAGGTATTCTTGAATATACTAATAGTACTCTACAACAACACTATATGGTAAAAATTTTCTCTAATTTATCAGTTATATATAGTATATTTACTATGTAATGGCATATTATGTATGCCATTAAAATTTTTCTAGCAGCCACATTAAAAAAGGAAAACAGGTGAAGTTCATTTTTTTCACATTTTTTAGCAGAGCATTATAGGTATACATAATGATGGGATTTGTTTTTACATATTTGTACATGCACACAATATAACCATATGATTTGGCCAGTATCACTCCCCAGCACTTTCTCCCTCCCTACCTCCCAGCAGAGTTCATTTTCATGACCTAGTTTATTTCAAATAACAAATCCAAAATATCCACATTTCATAATATAAAAATTATCGATGAGGTCTTTTGTGTCATTTTTTTCATACTAAGTCTTTGAAATCCAGTTAAGTATTTTACACTCACAGCACATCTTAGTTCCGACTAGCCACATTTCAAGTGATCAATAGCCACTTGTATCCTAGAAGGCAAACTATTAGTGGCTGTTGTACACCTAAAGCAAAGGCACCAGAGGACAGTGCTATACATTAAAAGTAGCTCCAACTTAGGGAATAAAACCTAAAGGCATCTAACATATCTCAATGGGGAATGAAGAGTGTCTTACAGGGAAAGCAAATATCATCTGGCCTATTATTATGCAAGTTACCACTAATTTCCAGTTATTGAGGACAAGGGATTCTACACAATTTCCCAAATGAGTTCCACCCAGAAGCAGAGAGTGATCCAAGGACCAAGTGCAGGAGATTTATCCGGGAGGTGCAGGGACACTGGTAGGGATTTAGGAAGGTGATATAAGAAGGGAAGGCAGCCAATAAGAAGTGTATTATCAAGCAGTTGTTGCAGTGGGTCATGAAGATTAATCCAGTGCAAAGCTCTGGGATAGGAAATAAATAAATTGCTTCCAATTATCCCAAAGAAGGGATGAAGAAGCTGGGGCATTTAGACACTTACAATCATCAGTCACTGGTTATAACACAGGCTACTACTACCACTCAGGGAGATTAATCACCAGTCTCCTTGGACTGCTCTGTTGTGGGTAAGGTGGTTGTTGGTGGAAGTAAACCAAAGTGGTGATTCCAGCCAGTGGCAATCAGACAGGTAGGGGTACAGGAATGGTAAGGAGGACCCAAAGGTATGGGGGAAAGCATGCACTATTACATCAGTCCTCCAATAACCCCAGAAGATGTGCACTATTAATTCATTTTTTAAAGTGAGGAAACTGAGGCTCAGAGAATAAGTAGGTTCAGAGAATAAATCCTGGCAGCTCCAAGATTTAAACCAATACCTGTCTGGTTCTAATGTATACACTCTCTTTCCATGGTCTAATGTGTTTTGCTATGCAAAAATAAGTTAAGGACTTAAAAGTTTCTCTTAGCACCACTTAGCACCATTTAGGATATAATACAAAAACGAGAGTAACCTGTTAGGTTATAAGAGATCTAAGTGGGAAATTTAAGAATATTTTACTTGAGGAATGAAAATTAAAATGGACAAAAATTCCCAGGCACTTAGTTCAGGAGACAACCTGTATAGCCAGGCCAAAAAATTTCTACAATGATTGAGGGCTGTTGGAGGAGATCCAATATGGAGGAGAAAATGAAGTGACCTACAGTATTCCAAGACTCTCAAGTTCGAACAAAGTGCTAATTAAATCAAAAGTGTCACAAAACACAGTAACACACATAGAGGAAATGTCTTTGCCCTATTAAATGTTATGTGTCAAATTATAACACAGATCATCATACAGGTGATCATTAGGTGAGGACTGTATATATAAATCTGTGTCAAGTTTGACCTGATAAAGCTCTGTGCCTCCATGTACAGTCACAGAGGCCCATGAAGGTGGGACCACCACCGAACAGGGACTCACAAACACATTCACAAGATCAGAGAAAATAAAAGATACAATTTCTTTTCTTTCTAATTGCCATTTGGAGATGGGAGTAAATGTAGCATGATCCCCTGAGACAAAACAGGGTTCTGTTCTATGGATTGGTAAGAAGAGGAAGTCCATTCAGGGAACTCCTGCTCTGAAGAGAAAAGGAAGAACTGCTAAGTCTCACTGCCCAAACCCCTACTACTCCATGAGGGAGGACAAAAACCAATCAGCAATTAAGGCTCTAATTAGTTGGTTTTATAAGAAAGCCAAGAAGATTTCCCTCCAATTAGTCTGAAAGACTAGCAGAAACTCAAGTCCCAACATGTTGGTATTTATAATAAACACTTAGAGGACATCAACAACATATTCTTAACTTCTATCATTAATATTCTTCCTTTTTGATGAGCATTATGGTTTAGATCTAGAATGAGCCCCAAAGGCTCAAATAATTGAAGGTGTGGGCTCCAATGTAGTGGGGCTTATAGGAAATGATTGGATCATGAGGGTTCTCATCTCATTTATGGAATAATCCACTAATGGATTCATAATTTGATGGCGTTATTGGTAGGTGGTGGAAACTGTTGGAGATGGGACGTAGCTGAAGGGAGTGAGTCCATGAGGAAGTATCCTTGAGAACTACATCTAGTCCCAGGCCCCTTTCTCACTCTCTTTGCTTCCTGGCCACCACAAGGTGAATAGCTTTGCTTTTCCATACCCTTCCACCATGATGTGCTGCCTTATCATAGGCCCAGAAAAGAATTGAGACAGCTGACCATGGACTGAAAACCTCTGAGACCTTGAGCCAAAATAATTACTTCCTTCGTTAAGTTATTTTTTTCAGGTATTTTGTCACAGCAATGGAAAGCTAACTAATACAATGAGGCTTACATTCATCCCTTAATTGTAATGCTGGTATAAAATGATAGTTTGCTCATTATGGCATCTTTCTGGACAACCCTACACCTACTGTGGTAAAATGGGCCATGTGTCTTTTGCTTTCTGGTCATTCCCATTTCCTAAGGTTGACAAGGCATCGGATGCCTGATACAATGGGCCAAAATACTAAACAATGAAATTTTTACTCAACTACCTAGCAATGCTTATCAGGTCTATCCTTTAAACTATGAACAAGGCATCATTACGAGGGTGAGACTTGGCAAAGCAATGTTGTAACAGTGAGATGGTTCCATTAAGCACAAGAATGCAGACTCTGAGAACATGATCACTGGAAAGTTAATGCCAAGAAATTTTACCTGAAATTTGATAAGAAGAAATGGGGGGTGGGAGGAATTTTATCCCAGAATTCATAGAAGATGTTAATAGAATCATTCTGTCACAGTGTGACATTAACACTGTGACAGGGTCCCAGCTACAGAGATTTTTTTCCCCCTATACGAAGAGCATTTCATAAAACTTGAGGAAAAACAGAATCTAAATGATGTAACAACATAACATATTTTGGTAATTATCCTTAGTTGAGAAAACAGGGTGAAGAAATTGCCTGAGAGTGAATATACATTTGTCTGAGGATGACAATGTTGATGCAGATTCTGCTCTTTCTGAAATCTTATTTGATTGGCTCATTCAAAAGTAGTTAAAAAGTGGCAGTTTCCCCTCCCTGGTCTTCAAGGGCCATTATCTCCCCAGTTTCACCTTGCCTCTGAGAGAGAAGCACTAACCTCTCTCCTATTCATAATCCTGAATTTGTAAGTGCCAGATTTAGATGAACTTTCTCTACACACACATGCCCATTAAATATTGTATACCTGCCTATGATGGCTTTTTCTGTCCAATGCACTAAAAATAAACAATGTTATCATTTGGACCATAAGGTACACCATCCAGTATTTATTGAAGGAAATGGTTTTGCTTCCCAACCAATACCTTAAAATAACCTAATAGGTTGCTAGGTAGTTAAAGCTAGCAGCCTTTTGATCAATACCACACCTCTCTGTACCTGTGTGTTTATAAATGGCTTTCTCTACAATGGAGTTTTTAAAGATACATGCTATTAAGCAAGTCTAAATTCTTCTAGATCATTATAAAGAATAGGACTACATTACACCAACACTCCTTTATTCAAAAAATATACCTTTAATTTATTCCCTAGCCCACAATGCACTTTACTATTTTAGAGAATAACATTACACGTTAATTTTGATTCCACTGACTGCAGACCTCTGCATTTCAAAGTAATTATAACTTACAGAACTTATATAAAAATTGAGATCTACTTATAATTGTTGACTTTTGAATGCATGTGTTTCTTTCTATACCTTAACTGAACAAAACTTACAAGTGTCCTTCCAGTCATGTGCTAGACATCTTGCCTAGTGTTGGAGACTCCAAGATAAATAAGAAGATAATTCTTCAGTTGAAGAAGGGAGCCAAGCCATTGGAGAAATTTTAAAAGAAATAAAAGCAAAACTGCTATCAATTCTGACTTGTGCATTTTCAGTATTTTTGGTGTTGTTGTTTGTTTTTGTTTTGTTTTGTTTTGTTTTGAGGTTTTCCTGTAACTTCACTACTAGAGTCAGAAGCAGAGAAAGCCACCACCTGGATTTAAGAATCACTGCATATAATTCATCTACACCACTCAGGAATTAAAAATGTGATCTTTATTAGCTCTACAAACATATCTGGGCCTTTAGAATTTAAAATATAAACCTAGAAATGCTGTTTTAATCCATTCTTAGCACTAAATGGGTCAATTTTTTTCTTCTTGTATTGTAAAATGCCAGAATGCTTCAGACTGCCTTTCTGACAATGGTCAAGATTCTATAAGTTAGGTGTAACCATCATACCTGCCTGCCACCAAAATTCAGATCAGAGTTGGGGATGTTCAAAAGGCCCATTTAGATATTAGTGGAGAAGCACTCTGACGCCTCCATAACTTGTCTATTTTTATTTCAAAAAAACAGCAATTCTATTTTAGAATTACTATTAGAACTAAAAATATACTTCTCTAAATGCTCCCAGACAAATATTTTCTTTCAGTGGATGGATATCTGGTCATGGATGAAGGAAAAACTCAAGCACACTTAATTACATAGGAGTATATACAGCAATGTGTAAACCATAGTAGTCTTAAATTAGAATATTTACATATCAATGTCAATTAGTGGTACAATAATGTATGCCTCTCCCATGCTGAATTAACCACACTATCATTCTGAAATCAGGCTACAATGTATTTAAAAGACTTTAAAGGCTATGGTGCATGCCTATAGTCCCAGTGACTTGGGAGGCTGAGGCTGGAAGATCTCAAGTCCAAGGCCAGCCTCAGGAACTTAGTGAGATCCTGTCTCAAAATAAAAAAATAAAAATTGAGTGGGGACGTAGTTCAGTGGTAAAGTGCCCCTGGGTTCAATCCCTAGAATCAAAATTTTGTAAAAAGTGCTTTGAAGTATTTTAATATGTCTTCAATAGTGACAGAAGGAAAGAGAACATGTAAGGCTCAAAGGAGAAAAGAAATCTAACCTATATCCATCTGGTCATTGTTGTGAGTTTCTGTGTTCCTCTCCATACCAAAACATGTGACTATGACCTTATCTGGGAACAAGATCTATACAGATGTAGTCAACTTAAGATGAGGTCATACTAGGATTAGGGGAGGCCCTAATCCAATGACTAACATCCTTATAAAGAGAGGGAACTCTGAATACAGAGATAGACACAGGGAAAATGTCAAGTGAAAAAAGAGACAGAGAACTGAGTGATTCATCCATAGGACAAGGAATGTCAAGGATTACTGGCAGCCAGAAAAAGCTAACAGGAAGCAAGGAAGGCTTCTTCCCTAAAGCCTTCAGAGAGAACATCACCCTAGTGCCACCTTAATTTTGAACTTCTGGCCTCTAGAACTGTAAGAGAATAAATTTGTGTTGTTTCAAGCCTCTCAGTTTGTGGTCATTTGTTATGATAGCCCTAGGAAAATAATACAGCCACCCACCAGTGATAACAACTAATTTCACTGCCAGAAAACACCACCTTACAAACAATGTAGGGACTCACATGACCTTCACATCTACACTGTTGTTGACAGGCAGATCTGATTCTCTTTCTGGCCCTGTCACTTACTAGATGTATAAACTTAGGAAAACAAAGTAAATTTGCTGAGCTATAGCTTTCCTATCTATGAAACAGTGGTAACATTATTTACCTTACAAGATCATGGTAAAAATCTTGGGTAAAGTACATAAAGCACTTTCCAGCATGCTTGGACACATGGTGGCTAGTAAAATTACTAGGACTTTGGAAATAAAATTGTCCAAATAAATCATAAAGTTATGTTGGTAAGGACAGGGGTAGTTTTCTACAGGGAAAAGAAATCTTTGAATCTGACCCTCCTCAGACACATTTTTTGGAAGTTATATAAAACATACAGAACCACAATCAGGTGTGCAGCAGACACAAACCTTGGCTGTGTTGATCCATTGGACTCTGGGGGGGACCCATTCCTGGGTGAGGTGGTCGCATACCGGTGCCCTTCATGGATCCACAATGGATATCTTCCACAATGCCCTTGTCATGCATCCCATCGATGGGCTGAAACATTTAAAGGGCATCAGTTAGACAATTCTTTAAGGTATAATATCTCTAACTGTAGTTTAAAGAACTCTCTCCGAAGTCTTCAAAAGTGTGACACAGTCATCCATTACCCACTCTATAGTCACATATTTTACATCTCACAGGTGAGAGGGGAAAAAAAAACTTTTACCAATAAGATCAGCTAAATTATCTGGAAATCAAAAGTTAAGGCTTTTAAAAAAAAAACACTGAACTTTTTTACTCAGCCATGTCACAACCTGCCAATAAAAATGAAGTCCTGTTCACAAGTACACAAATATAAGTTATTTTTTCATACCCTTTTGAAGGAGTCTTGAAGACTATTGTAAGATGAAGTGAGTCTGGCGTCTGAGGAAGACTATCCGAAGGATCTGCGATGATCTATTTTGTTGTTGTTGTTGATGTTGTAAATTTTTTTTCATTGGAGAGGAAGGAACTATGGAAAGTTAAAAAGCTGGAAACCAGAAAGTTCCATGACAGTTGGGAAGAGAGGAACAGACAAGGCAGAGAAGGGAATGGGGGTGAATACAGAAAAGGCACAAGTGTGAAACAGACAGCTAAGCTCCAGGGGGAGGAGGGCTGGAAGAGGTTAAAGGCACAGTTTGGAAATAAATTTGACTATGGGGGCTGGACCCCAGGTTGAGGCCCAGTACATGACAGACACACAATAAATAGCTATTGAATCGACATTAATCCAATCCAGAATTGGGCAATGGAGCCTGTGTTTGAAAAAGGAAAAGTCTATTCCTCCCCAAACTGTAATGGCCATGTTCAAAACAGCCTGAAAGGAATATTTCCAGGAGTTTATAGAAACCAAATGACTTCAAGCAAGAAAGTATGAGTGTTTGCAGTTTTGGAGAAAAGAAAGTTAATTTCTGCAGAGTCAAAAGCATGCACTTGAAAAGAGGAAAAATTTACCATAAAGAGGATGTTCAGAAGAGAAATGGGAAAAATCTGGTATAAAGAGTGTCACTGAGCCTGTTAAATAGTAATAATAGGGAGGAAATCAAAGCAACACAGCAGATGTATTTAGGCTACTTGTTTATTTATTTCCAGTAATGTTGAAAAGCAAAAAGCTGAAGCTCAGGGGGAGAAGGAGGGGTAAGACAAGGAAGAAAGCAGCCTATAAAAAGCACATAAGAAAGTGAGGCATCTGGCCAGCAGGTGTGAGCCCCATGCTGCCTCTGGGTCCAATCCTCACTGGGAATAGGCCAGGGCTATAGGGAGCTAAAGGAGGACGGCAAAGACCATAAGAATCACAACATCAGAGCCACACGAAACAGAGAAGAGCATGAGAGGGTGAGAATATGAGAGAGCATGAGAAAGATGGCAGGTAACCCAAACAGAGAGACCAGAAGAGAAAAAAAAAATCAATAAAACCACCACATACAAAAACAGAACATGGCCCCAACCCTCACTTACATGCTTCATTTTAAATGACTAAATAATAAATAAAGGTTAGCTAAATATTATTTCCTTCTCATTTTATCTTTCATTTTGAAGGTGAGACATCCATCCCCAAGTCTTTCTAAATTTCTGTAATTCACTTAGGCAAGTGTTTACTAGAAATAGATTGGAGCTAGAATACAGCTTTAAATTAATCTAAACACAAGATAATTTAATGATTGTAGTGTATCAATAGGTTCCCACAAAATATGATACAGAAAACAAGCGGTTTTATTTCTCTAGATGTCTGACAAAGTGAAAATGGATTTAAAGGGAAAAAAAAGGAGAGAGGGAACTTGGGGATACTGCAGAAATATCCATGATTTACTACTAAATCAAAAGAGGAAGTAACGAATAATGACAACATGATTCGAGACAATATGATTCTATTACGGCAAAAGAAAAGCAGAAAACAAAAAACAAAAACCCTCCCACCTATATATGCACATCTGTGCTAATAGGACGTTTTTACTGAACATGAAGGAAGATAAGGTCAGAAATGCACTACAACAGGCTGTTACCTGGGATGAAAACCAGGATAACCGTTTTCCGATTTATTTCAGTATTGTTTCTCTTTTCAAAATAAGCACATACTACTTTCCTGATTTGAAAATCACCAAATAACATTTTTTTAAAATGGTTCTTCCATATCCTCCCTTAAAACTGACCTAAAGTCCTACACAATTAGAGGTCACTTTTTTCTGTGGTGATCTTTTTGTGTCAAGTCAGCATCTACTGCTTGTCTTCTCTGATGGTTAACTTTCTGTGTCAACTTGACTAGGCCCTGGGGTGCCGAGATATTTGGTTAAACATTCTTTCTGTGAATGTCTGTGAAGGTGTTTGGCGATGAGATTACCCTCTGAACTGAACTGAGGAAAGCAGGTTGCCCTCCCCAGTGGGTAGGCATCATTCAACCCACAGGGGGCCAAAACATACACAAAGGTAGACTTGAGGAGATGTTGTGCACTGGAGATCGAGATCTCTCTCTCTCTCTCTCTCTCTCTCTCTCTCTCTCTCTCTCTCTCTCTCTCTCCTTCTCTCTTTCTGACTGCTTAACTGGGATGTTGCCCTTCTCCTGACCTCAGACTAGGACTTACACCTTTGACTCTTCTAGTTCTCAGGACTTTAGACTCCAACTGGACCAATACCACCAGCTTTTCTGGATTTCCAGCTTACTGACTGCAGATGTGGGACTTCTCAGCCTCCATAACTGCATGAGTCAATGCTTTTTCATAAATCTCTTTATATCTTCCATTGGTTTTGTTTCTTTAGAGAACCCTATAGATCTGCTGAGTATCAAGCAGCAGCCCACCCCCACTTGTGATGTCATGCAAAGGGGTATAAAAACCTCTACATGTCACATGAGACAAAACTTTCAAAAATTGTACAATGTCCTCACAGATTCTCTTTAGCTACTACTAACTCGAAGCAAATTGTTGCAAGGGATCTTGTTGAGCCTCGAAAGTCTCTTCTCTTGCTGAGCATGGTGATGTACAGGAGGCCGAGTTAGGAGGATCTTATGATTCAAGGCCAGACACAGCAACTTAGCAAGACCCTCAACTCAAAATAAAAATTATAAAGGGCTGAGGATGTAGCTCAGTGGTTGAGCACCACTGGGTTCAGAACCCACAATAGAAAAGAAAGATGTCTTTTCCCTCTTCCTCATATTTCCTGTGAGGGCATAATGCTAAACTGTACCAATCTGATCATCTTCACAGCAAAAATCTGAGTCTCATAAATAGAGAGGATCATTATTATCTTAGTCCAGAAACAAATAGCTGGACCTGAGAACTGCAAAATCAGTCTTCTTCCAAAACCAGAATAAGACTACTTCACAGAAAGACAGTAAAGTGCATTTTAAGGATTCCTAAAAATGATTTAATTTCAATAAAATGTTTTTAAAAATCTGTAGAAAAGAAGAAAAGGACTCCTTCCTTCTACTCTTAGAATTTTTTTTTTTGTACTAGGAATTGAACCCCAAGGGCACTTTACTACTGAGCCATGTACCCAAGTCCTTTAACACAGGGTCTCACTAAGCTGCGGAGGGCTTTACTAAGTTGCTGAGGCTGTCCTCAAACTTTTAATCCTCTTGCCTCAGCCTTCTGAGTTGCTGGAATTAGAGGCATGCACTACCATGCCCAGAGACGTTTAGTGATCTAATTTTAAAAAGTAAGTATCAGAATTTTTAGGGAAGAATAATCCTCAATACACTCATTTGTACATGATATAAGTTACTTAACAGAGACAGGAAAAGACAAGACTTATTCACTAATAAACTCATTCACCAAGCCAAAATAGCTTCAACCCAAAAGTCACAGAATCTGTCAGAAATGCACAGCCTAACTCAGTATTTTAAAAAGCCAACATCTGATTTTCATGACTGGTACATCTGTAGCAATAAAAGTGCCTCAAAATGTGTGTTTTTAATAATATACAAGATAAGCCAAAGATCTGGCTTGATTCTCCTTGTTAACCATAGTAGGAAAAAAAAGTTGTGGGTTATCAGGAATATTAGCCATCCACGACTCAGAAGACAGATCAAAGGGGAGAGTAAACTCTAACCTTATGCAGCTGATGCACGCCTTCCTGTTGGAAGTCAGAAGAGCCCATGGTTGGCATAGGATGTGAGACGCTGGGGGGTCCAGGACTTGGCCCCATCATACTGTGGACAGAACCCGGGGATGGTCCTGGGCCTGGACTAGGTCCGAGGATTGGTCCAGGAGAGGGCCCAGGCCCTGGCGAGGGCCCCGGGTGGGGCATCGCAGCAGGGTCTGTGGGTGTGGACATTTACTTCTCCTGTCTCTGTCAGGCAGTAGAGTGACACTAAGTTGGAAAGCAGAGAAAAAGAAAGGAATGTTTTAAACATGATGTTAAGATCAGAATAAAACAGTCGTTAGCATTTGATGGTGCCATTTCTATAACAAACATCAAACAGAACTGCCCGGTCTCGTCCAGATGTTTGAGTGAGTGTGACATATATCTGCCTGCCCCAGTCTTTATGAAGACCACTTGTTTAAAAAAACACACTGTAAATGATTCCCCAGAAAGATATAAATCATCCAAGATACAAAAAGACTCACTGGAGAAACTGAAATTTAACACATAAGCAGAATCTAAACAAGTTTGAAATTTATTACTGAAGTCAACTAATGCTCTCCATTAAATACTGTCTTGGACACCTTATAAGTCATTAGCCGTCCCCCCAAAGCCATTAGAATAGAAACCCCTTTAAAATGTATCCAAGAAAGACCCATTTTCATGAGTCAACAAGCATTCAAAACTTCACAGAGAATTCCAGATAGTTAAAAGGAGAAAAAAAAATAGAATTTCATATAGAGAATGAAAGACAAGCTCCAATCATGGAAAAAACAGAAGCTATGAAGATCAGACAAATAGATGTTCCAATACCCACATCTGTGATTACTAGTTAAGTTATGTAACCTTTAAATGATTTAAATGTAATGGTATGTGTAAGAAACATAGCTGGACCTGACACAACAAACGGCCACTCTTATTCAGGGTTATTCCCTCTGCTATCTCCACTGGACCTTCAGTGATCAGAAAAGATATAGTAAGATGTGGTCCTCCTGCCAGAGACTAACTGAAACTGAGACACTTGGACAGTGAAGGCCAGTGATTTGTCCCAGGCCTTGCTCTGCTCAAGCATCCCTGGGAGATGTGGTCCATGACTAGTGGACCAGGGTGTAGGTGCAGACATTCTGGTTCTCCAATTTCAGCAGAGCAAGGTTAATTCTATCACCCATGCTCCAAGGCTTCTGGACATCCCTACCGGGGACCTGCCTCACACACTGTGGACAATGGCACCTTGGATATGAGCAGAAATGAGGAAACAAGATGTCATCCAAATTCAACAATCCCAGCAAGAGCTGAATACGCTAATAACTGTTCAATATTCTAACGTTACCTTAGAGGCACACATCTGTACACGCAGAAGTTTTTTTTCCAACCATTAACCCCCAGAAATACAGAATGAGATATCTTAGGTAACTTGCTTACCTACCATTTAGCAGCAGAGATAGAATTAGACTGCAGCCATCTAATCACCCAGAACAGGGCTCTTTCCATAGTGAAACCAGTGGTGAGAGGAAGCACCAAACAAAAACATTAGATCCATTCCTCCTTACCCACTGTCATTTCTGGCTGTGTGTCTAGAATGTGAGGGACACAAAGGCACAGTCTGGCTCTTCTCCACTCCTCTATCCCCAGCACCTCCTACCAGCACACAGCAAGTACTCAAAGGACAGCTGATGAATAAACTGAAGGTGAAATTTCAAGGGCAAACTTGAAATTTCTAATTTTATAAATGAAAACTAAAGAGTAATCAGTGTTTGAGGTGTGTCTGCTTACAAAAAAAAAAAAAAAATTAAAGGGTAGGTAAAAATTTAGGCCCTTCCAGTAAGTAAACCAGGGCTAAAATGGGAAGTAGGAAAAGGCTACTTCATAAGGATTATAAAAGCAGGGCTACAACATGGACGTAAGAGAACCCAGTACAACTGGTTTCTAAAACAGGGGAGTATCAAGAGTATCAAGGGTGAATTATAATCCTGAATTCACCAGAAAGCCAAATATTATTATTTATTCTTTGTTACTAACAAAGCAGGCAGAAGTAACTTTTTTTTTCCTTCCACCCCCACTCTCACACAAACACACACATGTTCAGTCAGCACTTTAAATTTAGGAAGCTGACGTCAATTCAGGGGTACTACAAGTTATAATGTTCTTTCATGTATATCAGCAAACTAATCCACCCTTTTATTTTTTAGTGAATAAAAGGAAATTGCTTAGTTCCTGTTATGGTTTACCTTGAAATCAGCTTCAAGAGGTATTCTGATAATACACCACGAGTTTTGAACAATGAAGATACAAAATACTCAAAAGATAGGCTGATTCCAACTTCTCAAGTTGTACATTTTAATATACATCATTATCAATTTCATCTGAGAATCTTAGAGTGTGTTGTAACTGCTCACACAGAGTCCCATAAAAATGCTCCTTGTTTTTTTGTTAAAGGAAACTATTAAAAACTTCTTAGAGGGAAAAGCATATTGGAAGGGAAATGGAAAATCATAGGCACATAAGTGGAATGTTAATATAGAAACATGCTACATAGGAAAACCATTTAATAAGAAGAGAACCCTCAGACTCATGGATGTGATGAACGGGTATGGCTCACAAAAATAGTATAGTTTAATCTCATGCCAAACAGGTAGTGAATGGCAGGAATCTGAACTCTCACAGAAACTGAGTGTGGTATTCACTGACTTCCAAGCCAAGCAGAAGTCCAAAGACCTGGGTCCAAATCTTAAGACCACCCTACTGGAGCCCTGGGGAAAGTGCTTGGGTTTCCTCTAGCAGCTGTAGGCTTCCTGTAGACTCCCATAGGATTATCTCAAAGGTACCTGCCTTGTGAATCCATGAGTCTATGCCCGCTGCCCCAGAAGCATCTCAAAGACTCCATCCCAGCCCTGTATGTGGTAGAGTTCACTAATGAATCTCCATGTCAAAACCAGGGCTATCCCAGGATCTACTTCTGGCTACCATGACCCAAGGGTACCCAACAGGAGGACCTTACAAAGATGAGGCCAGTAGTTCTGACCTCTTATTCTTGCTCACATTTCTGGTGGCAACTTTCCTGCAGAATAAACCTGGGGGTATAAACTGCCAAGAGGTACAAGTCTCAAACCTCAAGCAGAGGCACATGTTATTACAAGTTAGTATGGTTGAGGTTTGAAGTCTAGCATTGGCTAACTCAGCTTCTCCCTATGGTATCCATAGGAATCCTGACCCCTTTTCTATTCTCCAAAGCACAAAAGAGAATATGGAGATGAGGTGGCCAGGGTGGGAATGGGCACAGGAGGGCAAGAGGAGAGGAAGGGGCTCAGATGACCTTGATAGGTGCAGGCAGGTCTGTCCACTTGATAAAACCCACAACCTATTTTCTTTTGTGTTCAGGAAGGAGATGTACATTGTCACAGAAGGACCTGTTCCACATTATGTGACTAATACAATGAGGAAAATGTGCCTAAGGGAGGGTACAGTTACCTCCCATAGGCATGCACTGTGGGTTTCCTCCTCTTCCCCATAATGCTTTCCTCTCTCCCAGACAGGACTCCCTGAGGGCCAGGCCACTGTGTTCCTAGGCAAGAATTTTCCAACAGTACACCGTGTCTTCTTTTGGTTCTGACATTCCTGCCTTTACAACTGGGGAGTGTGTGTTTTTAGAAAATAAAAGGCGCTGGCGCCTCACACCACACCAAACACCACTGTCAGTCATCTTCGGCCCAACTGTCCTTCCCCTTCTTAGCTGAAAGGCTCAGCACATCCATCTGCATATTAAAAGGAGTTCAACCCCATGGAATTTTAAGGGTCACCACTCCAACTATGACAACCCTGACAAAACTTACGACGTACTGTCTAATCACGACTCACAGAAAAATCTAAGACCCTCACACACATAGCAATATTTAAACATACATGTGCTTCATAATAATTTTAGTGACCTCAATTGAGGAGACATATTGTCATGACCCCCATTAAAAAGATGAAGCCAGGAAGGCAGGGAGAGACAGCATGGCCTACCCAAAGTCACATCTGTTAACAGGAATGAAACCCCAAGTCAAAACTTTTTTATGACTTGACTCTCAGCCCAAGGATGAGCTGTTGTTGCAAAGACCAGGCCAGCCATCTGCCAGGACAGACAGTTTTCACTAGGGCCAGAACAATGTGCAGGGGTGGAAAATGGAGGACAAAGAAACAAAGATGCAAACCATGAGGGAGGTATTTTGCAAAGATCAGGATTTGGCTGTGATCATGCATTAAAATATCAAGGGAGAGAGAAGGAAAGGAGAGCTCTAGAGAGAATATGAGGTGAAGGCCATGTCACAATCTGAAGAGGTTGGTGATGTTGAATCAAACACCCAAAGGATGTGTTTTCCGCCTTTCTTCTTTACGGAGTGTCCACCAGGCACAAGGTATGTAGTGCACACAAATATGATCAGATCTGAGTGCTTCCCCCAGGACTCTGAAAGTCTGCTAGGTAAGAAAGACTAAATGCAAAAATGGCAACAAGATGGAAGACCCTCCAAGACAAGGAGACATACACAGTTAGAATGTCCACACGGTGGCAGGGTAGGAGGGATGCTTTCAGCTTGGAAGGTGGAGGAAGGAAGGGGAATCAGGGAGAGGCCAGACCTTCAGTTAAAGAAAACAAATGTTTCTAAATCAGTTTGGGGAAGGTCACCAACCTAGACAATACCTCTTAAACTGCCCTTTACCAAAGCTCATAAGGAAGCACAGGGAAGTTTGCATCTCCAGAATATCTTTTCCTACTGCTCACTTTACAGACAGACTTTGAGAGCCACACTACAGGTAAAATATCAGAAATAAGAATAGAGCCCAGTTCATATCCCTAACAATAACTGAGTCTTTTTAAAGTTTTCTGGTTGCTACTGGAGAATGATAAGGCTCCAGAGATAGTTAAGATAAGAGTTCTTTTTATGTCTGTTTGCTGATTCAGAACATCTCTGACCCGACGCCCTGATTCTTGTTTTCTATGTAGCTTTCTCTATAAATGAATTGCTAATTCCTCCACAGAAGTACCAACATTGCTAGAACTGGGACACAGCACTGTTATTCTTGATGGGAAAGCAGGCAGTGGGTAAGGAGAACAGCAAAGAAGATAAAGGAAATAAATCTACCAGGAGTCTTGTTTAGAGGCCAAGGTTGTCTGCAGAGATGGTGAAACATTACCAAGGCCCACGCTGCTTCTTGGTCCGCAACATACAACTTTAAACAGTGTACAA